TAGTTTGTTCTCTGAGAATGGGGTTCATGTAGTATGTATTCTTATCGTATCCACCCTCCATTCCCCGTGTCCAATCCTCGCCAGGCCTCCTGCCCAGTTTTATGCCCTCTTCCTCCTTTTTGTTCTAACCTGCCAAGTGATCACCACTCGTGTGTGCACGGGTGTGAAGTCATCACTGGAGCACGGTCAGCCTACTGGGGGGCCTCATCCCTGAAGAAATCTTTCTCCTCAAGCACCAGGCAGTAATTCTTGATCCTGCTGCCTCAGCCTCCCAGGTGCTGGGATTATGGATCTGGCTTTTCTGTGGTCTCTCTCTTTTTTTTTTAAACAACAACAAAGCAACCTCAGATATATTTCTGTATGTGTGTGCATGTATGTGCATGTAGAAGCCAGAGGTCAACTTCTCCACCCTCCCTTCTCTTTGAGGCAGGGTCTCTCAGTAGCCTGGAGCTGGCCAGGTGGGTGAGGCTGGCTGGCCAACAGCCCCAAGGATCTGCCTGTCTCTACCTCCCAGCACTGGGAGAACAATTGTGTGGACTCAGTCATTGCTTGTTTTGGTTTTGGAGGCAGGGTCTCACTATGTAGCCTTGGCTGATCTTGAAGTCACAGAGATTTGCTTCCCTCTGCCTTCCAAGTGCTGGAATTAAAGGCATAAGCCACCATGCCTGGATAGTTTTTTTTTTTTTAAATGTACATTCTAGGAATTGAATTCAGATCCTCTTCGCTTAACCTACTGAGGCATCTCTTTGGCCTGCATGTAACTTTGAACATGTGCTTACATGTTTGTATTTGTGTGTGTGTCTGTGCATGTGACTGCTTGTGAGTACACTGTGCTTTTGTGATGATGTGCCCATCTGTGTGCGCACATACATGTCTGTATGCTATTCACATGTAGGTTTGCAATTTGTACATGCCTGTGTGTTGCACATGTCTTGTGTGCACATGGCAGGGCAGCCTCTTCAGGAACTCACTTTTGCCCTGGAACATCTGGGACGAACTGTTCGAGTCTCCTCTATGGGCGCTAATGTGGCAGCAGGGCCAAGGGCTGCCTAGGTGGTAGCCCCATAGGACCCGACGGTTGTGGGAGTGTTTTGGAGGTAGAGGAAAACAGGTGACCTCAGATTCTGGTGGGGACCACCAGGTGGCCTGGCGTGCTTCTCACCCACAGCAGCAGGGTCGGAGCCTAGGACAAGCTGAATTGGGGTACTGTATGTGCTGAAGGCCCACGGGTATCCTGAGAAGATTTCATTTAACAGGAAGGAGTCGAGTGGAGGGGAGAGGAAAAGGCAGGAGGCAAGGAGGTAAGCAATGAGTCAGAAGGGCTTCAGGTGGGTCAGCCCTGGTTCATCAGCTACCCTTGTCCAAGGGAAGTAGCAGATATGCCAAGGGAGGAGGCGGATGGCGGCACTGGCGTGGAGCAGCCTTTCTTATGTATTATGTCAGTGGTGCCCCCTCCCCGCCCACGCCACGGCTCTCTGCTTTCATCTCTTAGAAGCTGGGCCTGGGAAGAGAGAGACTGAGAGGAAGAAAGCCCCAGGCTGGGTCCCATGAATGGCCCCCCAGGAGCCCTGGCACACACTGGACTGTTCTTTGAATCCTGGCTGTTCTGGGCTTAATTAACGAGTAGCTCAGGGGCACCCCTTTCTCCTTGTTCAGAGAGAGCCCCAGCACCATGGAAACCTCTTCCAAGCTCCTCAGGCAGGCACCGTCTAATGGGGCTGTCCCTCCAGCTGTAACTGGGTCCAGCTTGAGGGAGCCCATGGGAAGACATGCTAGCCAAAGGCCATTAGTGGGTGCCTGTGCAGACAGGCCAGCCTGTTTCCATCCCCATCATTCGTATTCCGAACCCGGCAGTGCTGCCAAAAGGAACAAGGGATTCAAATTCTTCCTGTGTTCCCTGGGGACTTGGGGGAATGGTGGATTTAAAATGGGCCAGTCAGGCACGGAATTACAGCTCCCCAGGCTTTAAGAAGGCATGCATGAACCAGGCCTGGTGGTACAGGTTTATAGTCCAAGCTCCTTAGGAAGTTGAGACAAGAGGGCCCCACATTCAAGGCATGTCTTGGCTACAAGCTGAGTTCAAGGCCAATCTGGGTGATTTATTGAGATTGTGACTTTATTTTTTTTCATTAAAGAGCTGGGGAATGAGTGAGATGGCTCAGTGGGTTAAGGATTTGCTGCCAAGCCTGATGACCCGAGTTCAATTCCTCGGGTACCAACATAGGAGAGAAGTGTATCTTGCAAGCTTTCCTCGGATCTCCGTGGCATGCTGTGATGCGTGGACATGCACATGCGCGGACACACTTTTTACACAAGGTCTGGGAGATGGCTTGGTGCCATGTAAGCACGAGGACCTGAGCTCAGGTTGGTGCCACCTGCTGGATGAGGTGGCATTACATCTGTAGCCCAGCATGGGAAGGCAGAGACAGGCCGGTTCCTGGAGCTCATTAGTCAGCCTAGTTGAATCAATAGGGTCCAGGTCAGCAGAAGTTCCCATCTCAAAGGATCCAGAGGAGCTGGAGAGATGGTTCAGCAATTATGGGTACTTCTTGTTGCTGAGGACCCAGGCTCTAGTTCCAGTACCCACATGGTGGTTAGTAATTTTAACTCCAGTTCCTGGGGGATCTGATGCCTTCTTTTGACTTCCAAGGGTACCATGTACATAGACATATGTGCAAACAAAACGCTCATACACTTAATCCTTAAAAATAATTATACATAAAAAAAGTTGTGGAGCAATCGAGGAATACACCGGACACTGAACTCTGGCACACACACCCCTGAACATCCACACAAACACACAGGCATACACACACACACACATATGCAAAAATCTAAACGTTCTCATTACAATTTTTGTGTATACATGCACCATGACATACATACAGACATCAGAAGACGAGTGGAATCTGGCTCTCCTTCCGCCATGGCGGTCTGAAGATTGAATTCAGGCTGTCAGGCTTGGCATTAGGTGCCTTTATCTACTGAGCTATCTTGCTGGCCCTAAATTACCATTTTTTAAAAATTTTATTTATTATGTATACAACATTCCTTCCATGTATGCTTGCATGACAGAAGAGGGAACCAGATCTCACAGATGGCTGAGTCACCATGTGGTTGCTGGGAATTGAACTCAGGACCTCTGGAAGAAGAGTCGGTGCTCTTAACCTCTGAGACATCTCTCCAGCCCTAAATTACCATTTTTTAAAAAAGCTGGGTGTGGTGGTGCATGGCTTTAATCCTATGCCAGCCAGTGCTATATAGCAAGGCCCTGTTTAAAGAGGGGGAGAGAGAAAAATTAAGACCAAAAAGGCCAGGGACCCACTGCTGACTGTTCTGAGTCATCCTGACAGCTTCATCTGCCAGCTTTTAGATGTAATTTCTCTCATTTTAATAGGGGCTTGCCCAGCTGTGGCCTGCGCCAGAAAGGTAGTCAGTTAGAGTGGCTGCTGTATGCGTATGCAGGCTCTGTGGGTCTGGGGAGGCAGGTGCCTGGAGAAGGGGCCAGCCTGGGTTCACACCAGTTGTGTTTACTGAGTCTCTGGTCTTCAGAGTGCCTGAGCCAGGTGGAAGCGATCGCTGCTCTCTCCCACCCCCAGAGGAATTTGCAATTAGTTTGACCAGGATATAATGGAATTTTTATTTAGATCTCAAAGGTTAGAGTGCTTTCCCGGGAAGGTATTTATAGCTTTAAAGGAATCTACACTGGTTAGCTCGTTCTTTTCTAATGATGGTCTCTTCACCGAGGGTTCTGGGTCTGTGAAACTGAAGGCATGGTCCTCACTCCCCTCGTCGGGAGACAAAAATAGACATTATCAGACAGAATACAGCCAGCACCTGCAGCCAGGGTCACTCAGCCACAGCCCTTCCTTGGTGCTGAAATGGACCCACGACAAGCTCCCAATGTACTATGGTACTTTACAAAACACCAGGCACAGGGCCCTGGCGATTTCTGCTCAGCCATCAGGCAGTTTAGAGGGACTACGGTCTTGGTGGCTTCTGACAAAACCCCTTTCAATGCTGCACGCCCCCGTGATAACACAGCATCAAGAATGCACTGAGGGGCTGGTAGTGTGGCTCAGTGGTAGAGCACTTGCCTAGCTCATACTAGGACTCAGGGTCCATCCCTAGTGCCCCACAAAAGCTCACTATAGGTTTGTTCTCCATCCACACTCAGCTTGCTGCTGCCTGTTTTGCTAGCTTTGGGAAGCCTGGATTGTACCAGCCCCCTCTCAGCACTTCCGTCTCAGCTGCATGTGGTGGGTGGAGGTGAACCAAGGGCAACAGAGGGCTGCGGTGTTCCTAGATCTCGCTATTTCGCTGGGGTGGCGTCTTCAGGATGGTAACCCCAGTCTATTCCTGGTTTTTGAACCAGAGGTATCTCCTTCCCCCAGTCACGGGTAAGAGGAACACCACAGGGTCCCTATAAGCCCTGTGTCCCAAGCCCAACTGGCTTCCTGAGCACTCTCCAGAGCCGCCCAAGGCCTCCACCCAGCACCTCCTTGGTGTGAGTAGCACCTTCACCTTTCCAGCTCTCCACACAGGACAACTGGCCCAGGGCAGGCTCAGCAGGTTGGTTGCTGCCCACCGGTGGAGTCATGAAGAAAGCATGGTTTCTTCCAAAGTTGGACAACCTACCAGCCTTCAGAGAAGTCTCACAGCTGCTCTTTAAGATCAAGGTGATGTGAAGGTGTTGCCGTGGAAATAAGGGCACAGAGACATCATTTACCCATCTCAAGTGCACATACCTGGGCCCGCTTGGTCCTGAATGTTAAGGTCTGAGGCCCTTTCTTTCTGGAAATGTTTCCACTCCTAGTCTCCCCCAAGGATGAATTTTTTTACTTCCTACCGCCCCACTTACAATTCACAGACCACAACTGGCTGGGTCCTGGACCAATCACACTCTCAGCAGGGTTGGCCCAGTCTCTGGCTCCTCTTCTCATAGCTGATCCTACCACAGCCACCACCCCCCCCGCCCCCGCCATTGGCCTACAGCTCACTCCACCCACAGTCTCTGTAGTTTGGGCTTTGCCAATGGCCCTAGCTGGCCAGCCACATGCTGGAGGACTTATGCCTCCGAAAGCAAGCCAAGCACGAGGAGTCTGCTTATCTTATAGACCAGGCAAAGTCCAAAGCTGGACTGACTGGCTGAAATCCTACACATTTGCTCCTGGGGAGCCAGCAGCAGCTCTCTGCACTGTTCCTAGGTCCCACAGAAGTTACCCCCCCTCCCCCCAGGGCTCTCTGCGTCAGATCAGCCAGGGGCAGCCTGCTGTACCAATGGGGCCTGGGTGGGGAGCACAGGACACAGGACACCGGCCAAAGACAGAGGCTTGAGGCACCGTGATTTACTGAGGTAGCTTCAAGACAGGGTTTACCTTTAATAGATTAGCTGCTGCACCAAAGGACAGGAGGGTTGTAGCTTTCCTGTTTGCAGGGACATGTTCTCAGAAAACTCAAGTGCAGGGGCTGATCTTGACTTCACTGTCCACTGGCCAGGCTGGCTGCACAGATAAGCCTCACACCTACAGACCCTGCCCCCTTTCCTGAGGTGGGGGCAGCCGAGGTGAAGACACCCCCCTTTACCCCTGCCCCCCACCAACCTAGAACTCCTGAATGTTCATGCTCAGAACACTCAATGCATAAATGGCTGCTATTAAATAAGAGAGAGGACAGAGCAGCCACATAAGGACCTTTGGTCTTGGGGAAGGTACAGGCACAAGAGGGGGCCACTTGTAGTCACCTTCTTGTGCCCGAGTGGATGGACTGAAGCTTCAAGTGGTGGCATCAATCACAGGGAACACACCCAAGTTGTGGTAGGGAGGCAGATCTACAGAGGGCTCCACTTGGCTGCCACGTTGGTAAAATTACCAGTACACAGGGAAGAAAACTAATTTGGCGGACAGCCCACAGGCAAAGTGCATAAAAAACTGAGCCTGCCAGGGTCCTGGCTGAGTTGTTTTTTGCCCCCTGGTGGAGAAAAGGGCTAGGCAGGTGTGCTTGGTCCCATCACAGTATTAGGGGCCCTTTCCCTGTCCTGGGGCAGGTCGACAAAGTTGGGTTCCATCTTCCTGGCCTCTGGCCGCAAGCCCAGCTCCCATCCTGAGGGTCCCATGCCCAGCCTGCTGTGTGCAGCATTAGGAAGGTGTTCTGTGGAGGACGCCAGCAGTAAATAAATGGTCCCTAACAGCAAACCTGGTGTCCCCACAAGTCTAGTCCAAGAAGGAACTTTCTAGCACTAGGTTTTGCCTAAGAAAAAAGCCAGTCCCATGGGGCCAGAAAGTCCCATCCCCAGTGATCTATGGAGACAGCCAGCAGTCAGTCCCACAGGCATGACAGGGAAGCATGGACGGCAGACCTGAGCTACACAGAGCATGGATACCCCTAAAACCCTGCCCAAGCCCCAAACCCCTCATTCTCACCCACTGACAACAGCTAATTTCACAAACTGGGACCAAGATCTCAACTTCTGGTGCTGAGTGGGCCAGGTGGCACTGGTGCCAGGTGACAGGGCTGTCCCTAGGTCGACACTGGAATTTGTTCTTCCCTGAGACTTGTCTCTTCTGGGATGGTGAGCTGGCTCCTGGCCCTGCTCTCCGTCTCCTCTCTTGGTGACCTGTGGCTCTGTCCTCGTGCTGTCTCTCAATACCTGCTGAGCCACTCCATGTCACACTGCCAGGTGATCTTCAAAGAATTCATCCTCCCAAGGGGACGGAGGTGGTGGGGGGTAAGAGAAAGGGGAGCAAGGAGCCCATGGGACAGGGGCTCATCTGGGGACCCTGATGTCCGTAGCTTCTTGCTGGCTTAGATATGACTGTGTTCTGCTGAGGGGACAGGAGACTTAGCTGTGTGACCTGTAAGGCACTGAGCAGCACAAGATGAGGAAGGCTGCATCTCATGGCAGCTGGCAGTGCCAAGGTCAAGGGCAGGTGGCAGACTTTGCAAGACTCCCTGCTGCCCTGATTTGGGGTGGACATATCTGTGGGCACTGGAAACACACGGGCTGAAACCAGAGATGGAAGTGGGAGGTGGCCGCATGCCCTCCCCAGAGAGCAGCGTAGAGCCACCAGGATCCTTCAAAGGCACAGGCACAATACATAAGAAAACTGATGGTTGAGGTGTTCCCGAGGTGGACTCTTTCCCTAGCAAGATAGGTCATCTTCTCAAATTCAGTTAGCGAGTCCTCTAACCTGGCCCCACAGCCACCTCACCTGGAGGCAATGACTGGGGTCCTAGAATGGGGAGGGGCTTTTCTTCCTGGGCAGAAATGGCGAAAAGATAATATCATCGGAGTCGTCGGAGCAGACATCCTCCTCAGGGGTTGGTGACGCTGTGGGCTGTAGTCCTGGGGGAGAGGACACCACTGAAATGAATCGGGAAAGGGAGGTCAGCCACGTGGAGCCAGTCACAGGTGTAGACAGCTGTGAGCTGTACACTCGGCCATCAGCAGATTCTGGCGTGCAAGACTGAAGCCCCAGACACACAGCCAGGGACCTTCAGAGCCTACCTGCACAGCCCTACAGAGCCTCTTGCTAGTTCCTATTCTTGGGACAGTCTGGCCACTGCTGACATGAAAACACATGCAGGCCTGCGGTGGTGGTGCACTCCTGTAATCCCTGCACTTGGAAAACTGATGGAGGAGGATGAGGATGATCACAAATTTAAGGCTAGACTAGGTTATACAGTGAAGTTTGAGGCCAGCCTGGACTACACAGTAAGATTAGCTCAGAAAACAAAAAGGTGCAAAGGGAATCAGAACCAAGTGGCCACTGTGTATAAGCAGGTCCTAGCTGAAGTGGCCCCGAGCTGCCTGCCCTGCCTGGTGAGGAGCAGGGATGGAGCACAGGGGACAGAGGGGACGTACCCAGGGATGGCTGAGCACTTCCGGTGCTACTGCTCCTTTCTTCACATCCAAGCAGATCCAAGCACATCACATCCGTCATGCTGGACTGAGGTACATCGTCCAGACTGAATGGGGATGGACAGTCCCAGTGGCCACCCTGGGGGGAGTCGGGCACCGAGGACTGTGAGGAGGCAGGTCCAGCTGCAACGGTCTCTCTCGGCTCCTCCTTGGGACAGAGCCCCACTCGCATTGCTTCTAAAGGGGAGGGGAATGAAATGTTACTGATTTGAGATTTTAAAAGAACAAGATCCCGACCCCATCATGCAACCTGACTTGGCTGTCTGCCTCTTCTCCACAGTTCCTACAAACGGCAATCTCATGTATTTCATAATCTCGGTATGTGTAAACATCAGAGTACCACGGTGCAGAAGTGGAGGGCCAAGGACAGCCTTAGGTGGGGTTCTCAGCTTCCACCCTGTCTGAGACAGGTTCTCTGATGCTGTGTTGCCCTCCGTAGGAATTCTGGGATTGCAGACGCATATGACTATGCCTGGCTTCACAAAGGTGCTGGGGATCTGAACTCAGGTCTCAGGCTTGCGCTCAAGTGCTTCACCCACTGACACACTTCCCTGAATCTTTTTTCTCCTTAGCCTTTTTGTTTTGTTTTTAAGATAGAGGCTTGCCATGTAGCTCTGGCTAGCCTTATGATCCTCCTGCCTCAGTCTCTAGATTCCTGGGATTTTTAGCTTGTGGCACTAGGTTTTGTTTCCTTTTCTTCCTCCTTCCTTCTTCTTGACCCTCTCTTCTTTAAAAAGTTATTTTATGTGTACAGGTGTTTTGCCTGCATGTACATCTGTGCACCAAATGTGTGCAGAGCTATAGAACAAGCAGGGGATTTGGATCCCCTGGAACTGGAGTTATAGAAAGTTGTGAGCTGCCACGTGGATGCTAAAAACTGAACTCAGACCCTCAGCAAGAGCAGCCAACGCTCTTAACCAAGCTCTTTCCTTCCTTTTATGAGACAGTCTCATGTAACTCTGTCTAGCCTTAAAGTCACTATGTGGCTGGTCCAGCCCAGCCCATCCTCTTCCCTTTGCTGGGACTGAGGGCAGGCTCCTCTACATTTAATTTTCTCTAAAATCACAGTCAAGGTTTGGGTGTGGCTGTGATGTCTGTAAACTCACGGGAGTGGCAGACACAGGAAGACTGTGAGAGCCTGTCTCAACAACCAGCCAACTAAAGGACATCCCAACACAGTCAGCTCAAACAAGGTGCCATTCATTCACTTTCTCACATGGATGTATATCCCGAGGGGGTCAATACCTGTGGAGCAGTGAATGCTTCTGGACCAGTCTATACAGGTAGATAGATCTGCCATTTTAAAATCACACTTGACAAGAGGACGAAACACACCATAAACAAACTTTTTAGCCCTGACCAAATAATTTAAATGTCAGCAGACACAGAACCTGATGAGATCAGGACAGACAGCTTTTTGGAGAACTGTCTAAAGCCTTTGGGGGCCTGGGGACTGCAGGCTGGCGGTGGCTTTGGGGTTCTGGTGTCTGTGTGCCTGCCTTCTCTGAAATCCAAGGGCTTCTGACTTGGCTCACTGCGCTTTGCAGAGCAGGGTTTGGAGAGAACAGCAAAGCTCACGGTTTTGCAGCTCTGACACAGCTCAGAAAGTGACAGCTGAAGTCAATGTATGACTTTCAACTGTGATAACACGTTAAACATGGTGTGGCAGGAGGGTCTCTAAACGGACTCCTATGGGGACCCTGGGAACTGAAGAAGAGTGACCAATCCAGTCAGAACCAGCTAAGGGTTGGGAATGTGGCTCAGATGTACACAGTACATGTCTACCACCCCCACCTCTCACCATGAAAGGCGGAGAACGTGTCAATGGTAGAGCACCCCTTACTATGGGGTTGGGGTGTGGCTCAGTGGTAGAGCCTCTGCCTAGAATCCCCCAGTGAGGGGCTGGGGTGTGGCTCAGTGGTAGAGCCTCTGCCTAGAATCCCCCCCAGTGAGGGGCTGGGGTGTGGCTCAGTGGTAGGGCACCTGCCTAGACTACCCCAGTGAGGGGCTGGGGTGTGGCTCAGCCAATCACTTCTCTAGCATGTGCAAAGCCCTAGGTTCCATCTCAAGCACCTCAAAGAAAACATAAACAGGAGGGAGAGAGCTACTAGAGAAGGCCAGCCAGCCATGGTCTCTGGGTGAGGTTGGAATCAGAGTCACAGGCTTGTTTTCATTGTGTGCCTCTTCTGCCATCGGAGTTGGGAGATTGCTCAAGGAGGTGCTCCCTGGCCACCACTGCCACACGTTTACCTGAATAGAACTGCAGGGCTGCTGGCTCTTCTGCCTCATCTTCTGCCTCGGTAGCTTCCCCACAGCTCTCCTTGCTGACCTTCCCTGAAGGACCCCATTCTGGGTAAGGCATGTCAGTCCTGGGCAGGACCAGCCCACCCACCCGTTGTCCCAGCAGCCACCCAGCCTCCTGTCCCTAGCAACCAGCACTTCTCAGACCTTGCCAGCTTCCTTAGTTCCACCTCTGACACCCAAGGGTTCAGATGTCTCTGGGAAGCACCAGGTCCCTGGGGTGTCACACGCATGGACAGAACCTCAGATGAACTTCTGTTTCTAACATGACCCCAGTCCCTAGCAGCCTCATCAATACCAGCCACAGTGAGGCACTACTGTAGCTAAGGCAGGAGCTGGCGGCACAGCCACAGAGAGTAGAGTCCATGGGCTAGCAGACTGTTGGTCTGTTTAGCCCAGCTCTCTACTCGTGAGGAGATGGCCCTCAGGCAGGGGCCTACAGCAACTGCGTCTCAGTGTGGGCCTGATCTCATAGCTGGGAACACAGTCTGCCTGGGTCCTGGACTTGATTTTGATGTGTCTATATGAGTGTATGCATGTGTGTGTGTGTGTGTGTGTGTTTGTGTGTAGGCAGAAGCCATTGTTAATCATAGGTAGTGTGATTTCTCAGGTGCTGTTAACTTTATCTTTTATTTTTTGAAATGGGGTCTCTCCCTGGCCAGGAACTTGATGATCTGGCTAAGCTGGCTAGCCAGTGAGCCCCAGGGCCCTTCCTGTCTCTACCTCTCCAGCGCTGATATTACAAGCACATATCACCATGCCTAGGGGTTTTTCAGTGTGGGGCCTGGGAATTTAACACAGTTCCTTTACCAACTGAGTGATCCTTCTGAGTCAGCCTGGGGCTTCTTTAACCAATGTTATTTTCTTTATTGATTTTTTTTTTATTATTTTATTTTAGAGACAGGCTCTCTGTGTAGCCCTGGCTGTCCTGGAATTTGCTCTGTAGACCAGGCTGGCCCTGAACTCACTGAGATCTGCCTGCTTCTGCCTCCAGTGCACTGGGATTAAAGACGTGTGCCCCCACTGCCAGCTTGTTGTTGTTTTCAATGGAACCAGGGCCTCACACAGAGTGGAAGAAGTGCTATACACTATGCTACATCTTCAGCCAACTTTGGGGCTTTAATGGAGCAGACAAAGGAATTGTAAGCAGTGTTTCCCTAAACAAGCAGTCAGGAGAAACCCTCAAGGAGCCCTGACGGCTGATGGCTGAAGAAACAGAAGCCAGGAAAGCTTTGACTGCACGGCTTGAGGGTACTTGAGAACACAGGGCCCAAGCCACTGCGGTCACTGGTGCAGTCTACTGGCTCAAACCCCAGCTGTGGCCCCAGCACCAGCGGAGGAGGGGCAAGGTCTGGTTTTCCAGCATAGGTATGAACTCAGGTTGGCTGAGGCAACTCACAGTGGGAATAAGTCCCTTGCATTCTTACCCAGCCTTCTTTTGGCTTAACCCTTGGAGGGCCACCTCCCCCTTGTGGTGGAACCAAACAAAAGAAATTACCAGAAGAAGCTGCTAGGGAAGGTGGGGAGGCGGATCCTGAGGGTGTGGTTGAGACAGCTTCCCTCTGAGCTGAGGCAGCGAGCCCTCTGCAGCAGTTGGCACTGAAAGACAGAAAGCTCTGGCTGAACCACGGGCTGGACTGATCCACGGGGCAGCAGCCACTTCCACAGGCGAGACACTGCAAGTGTGTCTAGGCCTTGACAATGCTTGCTTGCCCTGGGAGTCTATGCCCTTGGCTCATGTATTCAAGGCCCTGCTGAACCCAGGGTCTTTTTGTTTTGTTTTTGTTTTTTTGAGACAGGATTTTTTTTCTGGCTCTCCTGGAACTTGATCTGTAGACCAGGCTGGCCTTGAACTCACAGAGATCCGCCTGCCTCAGCCTCCTGAGCGTTGGAATTACAGGTGCGTACCACTGTGCCAAGTTGCATTTTTCTTTTTTTTTTAATACTTATTTATTATGTATACAATATTTTGTCTGTGTGTATGCCTGCAGGCCAGAAGAGGGCACCAGACCCCATTACAGATGGTTGTAAGCCACCACGTGGTTGCTGGGAATTGAACTCAGGACCTTTGGAAGAGCAGACAATGCTCTTAACCTCTGAGCCATCTCTCCAGCCCTTTTTTTTTTTTTTTTGCATTTTTCTTTAAAAGGGACAGTATATGAGCCCAAGTTCGCGATGCCCACACACTAATGTTCCACTCGCTGTCCACATACCTCCTTGCTTCCCCCATCATAGAGACATGTTCTAGGACGGTCTTCTCCAGAGGGTGAGAGCCTACAGCTTACCCAATAGTGGAAGTGAAGCTAGGATATCTGTAAAGGCCTACCAATTGCTACAGTGAACTGCCAGGCCATGGCTCACAGAATCATGACAGCACATCATTGTGAATCCCACGGGAACCCTGGATAGCCACAAAATGGGTGCCCCCATTCCCCGAAGTAACAGCACAGAGATGCCTGTGGCCCACTCACATGAACCTGGCCTGGGCCAGGTATCCCCGGAGGATGGACTGGATGACAGTGATGGCCTCCTCTTGTGCTGGGCTATCTTCAGGCTGGAAGGTGGGGCTTGGGACACGAGATGTGGGAGAGCTCTGCAGCTAATGACAACAGGAGAGAGACCTGTCTGGGGCCACCCAGGTGTCCCCAAATGCAGCATGCAACTATTGGACAGGAAGGGCGTGCTTTCCAGCTGCACCCCCAACAGCGCTCCTCATCAGCAGTCACTGTGAGGCCTGCTTGGACCCCACCAAGGCTAAACCAGTCCTGGATGTGTCAACGGGACCACTGCTGGGCTGCCCCTGACACGGATGGATGAAGCACCAGGCACATCTACCCAGCTAGGAAGACGAGAAGGCTGCAAAGGGCTTGAGATTCCTCTGCTGAAGAAGGGTCGAGCAGCTGGTGTCTGTCCAGCCAGATGGTTACCTGGTTGGGAAGGCTGGGAAGGCCAGGCAGGCTCGGAGACCTGAAGTCTAGAGCTTTGTTGCATAACAGCTTAGAACGAGCTAGGTGTCCCCTGAAGGCCGCCTGGAGCACAGTTGCTGCCTGGCAGGAAAGAGGGAAGGACTTGGTTTCTAGAAGACTAAAGGGGAACAGAGAAAGCTCGTCCTGTGGTGTAACCTCACGGGCATGACACAGTGCCTCCTGTCTGGCCCTCCTAACCCCACATGCTGGCGCATGCACACACACTGGACCACAGGGAGGGAAAGGCACGTGCTGACTGCCGCAGCAAAACAGTCCTGAACACAGTCCAATCAGGGGCTAGGACAGTTACACCAGCCGCTAAGATTACTTCAGACTTCACACGTTGTTTCTGCTTTTTGAGTCGAGGTCTGGCTACGCAGCTGTGGAAGACCTCAAGTATGTGCTGAACCTCCTGCTTCTGCCTCCTGAGTGCTGGGATTACAGGTGTAGGCCACAGTGCCTGCTCTCCGGACTTCACACACTGGGATGTCTTCACAGCAGGGTGGACCTGCTTCATCTACTTCCTTTCACACACATCCTCCAGTCGCAAAAGCTACAGAAAGGTCTTTTTCTGTTTTTAGAGTATTGGTGACTGAACCCAGGGCCTTGTGCATGCTGGATAAGCACTCTACCATTGAGCCATGTTCCCAGCCTTTCTGTAGATATGGTATCATGAAGTTTCCAGCCATGTCTGCTCCTCACATCTCTTGGGGTTTGTTTTGAAGGTGAACGGATGACCGTACACAATGGCCAATGAAGAGCAGTAATTGAGGCCAAAGACATCCAGCCGCAGATGTAGGCTGAACTCTGGCTCTGGCTATGTTAGAACACCCAACAGCTGACAGTGTGCAGGCTGAAATCCAGTCCCATGTAAGCTAATCTAGCTAGCAAATGATAGAGCAAGAATGAATATAGGGGCAGGAAGAAGCCACAAGAGGAGGGCTTGACAGTACAGACTTGTTATCTCAACTACTTAAGACAAGTTCAGGGCCGGCCTAGATATGTGGCAAAGCCCTGTCTTAAAACAAAAATATAGGGAAGGCTGCAAGCATGGTGTGGCAATAGAAGATCTGCTCAGAAAGCCCCAGTGGAGGGGCTGGGGTGTGGCTCAGTGGTAGAGCACCAGCCTAGAATCCCCCAGTGAGGGGTTGGGAGTGTACTTCAGTGGTAGGGCCACATCTAGCATGTAGGAAGCCCCAATAACAAATATCAGTCTCTTATTTCAATTTCATGGCCACCTTAACCTGTTCTCCTTCCTGCCAGCTCTTCTGTTGGGATAACCCTACTGTCCTTCTCCATGTGTCCCATGGGGACACCTGGGCTATAGGATGGCAGCTCCAGTTCAGACCCTCTCAATTCTCCCTGCTTTGCGGCATGTGTGTCCTGGCATCTGTGGCTGAGCACGTGGGATTGCTCAGCTCTGAAATGGAAATAGGAGTGGGGGAAAGGGTGTGCTAGGAAATTTTAAAAATGTACAGTTACTCTGGTGTTCATTTTATGCTTCTGTTACTAGAATTTAAACTCTGTGATTGTGTTTGAATTCATTTCCCGAAAACCAGGACTTGAGGAAATGCCTTTAAATACACTTGGCTGGGCTGGAGAGATGGCTCAGAGGTGAAAAGCACTTTCTGTGTAAGCATAACACCTGAATTTGAACCCCTCACACTTCCATAGAGTCAGATGTGGTCACACGTGCCTGTAACCCAGCACATGGGGGTAGATACAGGGGCAGCCAGGTGTGGTCACACGCGCCTGTAACCTGGCACATGAGGGGTAGATACTGAGGCAGCCAGCCTAGCTTCAGGTTCAGTGATGAACCCTGTCTCCATGCACATCGGCACCCCTTACACAAGCGCGTGTATTCCCAGGTCCTCTCCCCGCAGCAGAAACACAAGTCTGGGAACTGGTGAAATTGACTGACTTACCTCATCCAAAGCCGCTTTTTTTTTCTGAAATAAGGAAATTGAGAAATGAATTAGTGTGAGCAGAGTGAAGTCTCGAAAGAGGCTTCCATTCCTTAAAGGAATGTTCTCGTCAGTATCTGTGATGCTTAATCTCACTGTCAACTGACTGGATTTAAAATCACCATGGAAACACGCCATTGGGTGTGTCTGAGAGAGGATTTCCAGATCTCATTAACTGTGTGGGAAGACCCACCCGAAGTGTGGGTGGTGCCACGCCGTGGGCTGAGGTCCTGCACTGCACAGAAGGGAGAATGGAGCCAAGAACAGTCGTCTCTCTGCTGCCTGAAGGTGGACACGATGTGACCAGCTGCCTCGTGCTCCTGGTGCCATGACAGGACCGACAAATGGCGGCCCAAATTTACCTGTCTGTCCTTGAAGTTGCTTCTGGTTGACAGGTTTGGCACAGCAGCAAGAAAAGCAGCTGATGTTGTGTACTGCGTGCAGCAATGGCTGCTGGGATGTTTCCTTCAAGTTTATCACGCACGATGTTGACCCCCACTCTCACCCTCTCTTGCGTCTACCCCACTTTCTACTTCTCCATCTGCGACAGCCAACAATGGAAGAACAGGGCACAGTAGGCGAGTGGCTTCTAAGACTCTAACGGAAAGTTCTTGGTGTGGCGTAGGAGGCCTGGGAACCTTCTTTTGCCAGAAATCAATGACGTGCTCAGTAAGATGACAGCCACAACGGCAAGAGCAAAGGGGCTCTCGGGACCACATCTGGGACAATATTAAGGGGAATAATGATTGCAACTAACTTTTAAAATGATTCAATAAATAAAAGGATCTGAGCCCATATTAATTCTCTTCCCACGAGGGAGAGAGGGAAGCAGGGAGGGGCCCTTGTGTCCTACTAGAAGGGAATAATCCAATAATCACTTGCTCTGGAACTGGTATCTACTCAGAAAAGGAAGCTTGCCTGTCTCCTCAGGAGCACCTGGATCCATGTCCAATGCTGATCATTTGCTATTTACGCCAGGGAAACTGGCTGATAAAAGATGGAACTAGAAACACAGTCCTGTGGCCATTCAAGATGGCTGAAGCTAGGTCACTGGACTGTTACTAGTTTGTTTTTAGAGAGGGTCTCCTGTGGCTTATGCAGACCTTGAACTCCTGATCCTCTTTGGTACTGGGATTACAGGCATGTACCACCTCTCCTTTTGCAGCCCCCCCTTCTGCAAGCATCCCACTCTAAACACAATGGATGACTGCTGGTGTGGGGATGGGGGATCGCACTGAAAGGATGTGCAAACACACTGTGTCACGGAGCACGTGAACGCCAGATATTCTCTGCAGTTGGACATGAATCAGGAAGCTCACCTTGTGCCTGTGGGCCTTCCATCGGGCCTGCAGGGTTCTGACGGCGGCCTCTCTCCTCTCTTCAGAGCATGGGGTGGGGGACTGGCAGCCAGCCCCCTCGCCAGCACTGGTGGGGGAGTAAGGCTCATTGTCGGAGTCTGGCTTGGAGTGCCTGCTGCAGGGTGATGGAGATCGGAGCTCTGGGTGGGCCTGCAGGAAATAAAAGGGGTCAGCGGCGTTAGTGACGTCATCAGTGGGCAGCGGACAGGATATTAACCAGGATATTACAGGCCTTGCTCATCAGACAGTAGACTTAATAAAACAAAGTCTGAGGCTGGTGCGGTGGCGGTCTTTTTTTGGGCTCTTTTTAAAGATTGATGCGGTATGATAAAAGCGGGATTTGGGAGATTGAAGTGGAGGTATTTCTAGCGTGGCTTTTGGCAGAAAGAGGAACTGAACCATTGAAATGTCGCTGACTGCTGGGTAGTGTTCTTGAAATCTACCCGCCAGGGCTCTTCTCAATAAAATACATATTACTGGAATATTCTCTCCTCACATCAAAAGGCAGGGTCAAGGCTGGGGAGACGGCACCGGCACTGTCAGAAGAGTGTTTACTTTACAAGTGTGAGGCCTGAGTTTGCTCTTTGGCAACCACGTGAAAAGTCAGGAGTGGCGGCGTGTGCTTGTAATTTCAGCACTGGAGAGGCAGAGACAGGCAGAGCCCAGGGGCTTGCTGGCTGGCCAGCCTGCCTCGCCTACCTGCCCAAATGTATCCCCACTGAACACACATTACAGGCAGGTTAAGTGGAGGAGCGTGCTACACAAACAGCCTTCCCAGCCATGGGAGAGATAAGCATATCCCATAGGTAACTGAGGCCACAATGTGCCATTCAGCACTGAAACCAAGATCTTCATTTAGTCTGAGATATTTTTTTTTTTTTTTTGACATGTGTGACAGATGGGAGACCCCGGGACGGGAAGAGTGCTCCTGTGAGGGAGGCTGAGTAGGCAACTCACAGGCCTAGACACATCCCACCCATCTCCTCTGTGTAATCTTCACACTTCAAGATAATGTCTGTTCTTAGAGTCACCTAGGACCAGGGACCCAGCAACTAGGATGCCCTGTGGCTCAGTGGTCACCATAGTTGTTCAAACCAGCCGACTTCATGCTCAGCCATGACATGCTCTTCATGGCCTGTCCTCACAGTGAGGGCCCCGGCTCTGTCTGCGATAGATTCCTGCCTGAACTCATACATCTCTTTTCAGTTTATTTATTGTCTGTGTAGGTTTGTGCACAGAGGCTGTCGGAGGCTGTCGGATGTCTTGCTCTATTCTCTTAAGAAAAAAAATCCCTCACTGACTCTGTATCTAGGCTGGTAGCCACCAAGTCCTGGCTAATCTCCTCTCTCTGACCCAACGTGTCTTTATGTGTGTGGAGCAAAAGTGTTATTCCCTACTGAAGCATCTCCCAAGCCCCTGGGGCTAGCCTTGAACTCTCCATCCTCCTGCCTCGGCCTCTCGAGCGTTGGGATCACTGGCCTGCACCAAGGATGGCCCATGAAAGCTTGTCTACTATGCATTCACATATCAGGTCCTCCGAGAGCAAAGACTGGCACAGGAGGTCAGCCCCCGATGTACTAGTTTCCACCTGTGCTAGTGTCTGGTGTGACACATGGGACAGATTAGAAAGAGGGTACATTCTAGTTCCCAGAAACGAAGGCGTCAACGGCCCGGGGAACAGGGACCAGAGGGCCTCTTGCTGACCCTTTGGAGATGGAGAATACCCAGGTGACCTTCACAGCTACAAAGTCTCTGCTGAGTGACAGGAAGTCCTGAGACTTCCATGAAAAAAAAGGAAAGGCCTGCTGCCATAGGCCTGTAATCCAAGCATTCCAGAAGCTGAGACAGGAGAACTGTAAGTTTAAAGACAGCCTAGGTAACTCAATGAGATCCTATCTCAAAGTAAAACATACAAAGGCGGAGGCTGGAGAGATGGCTCAGTGGTTAAGAGCATTGCCTGCTCTTCCAAAGGTCCTGAGTTCAATTCCCAGCAACCACATGGTGGCTCACAACCATCTGTAATGAGGTCTAGTTCAGACATACAGACAGAATATTGTATACATAATAAATAAATATTTAAAAAAAACATACAATGGCTAGAATTATAGTTTGGTGGTAGAACACCTGCCTAGAACCCCCAGTGAGGGGCTGGGGTGTGACTCAGTGGTAGAGCATCTGCCTAGAATCCCCCAGTGAGGGGCTGGGGTGTGGCTCAGGGGTAGAGCCTCTGCCTAGAATCCTCCAGTGAGGGGCTGGGGTGTGGCTCAGGGGTAGAGCACCTGTTGTGGAATAATTGTTTAATTATGTAAAGATGTGTTTCTGTTTTACCTTGCCTGTTTAAGACACCTGATTGGTCTAATAAAAAGCTGAATGGCCAAAAGTGAGGAGGAGATACAGGCAGAACTGCTAGGCAGGGAGAGTAAGCAGGAGGAGGAATTTAGGCTGGGGTAAGAAAGAAAAACAAACGGAGACGCCAGGGGCCAGCCAGTCAGACACAGAGGAATCAGGAAAGATGGACATACAGAATAAAAGAAAGGTAAAAAGCCCCAAAGCAAAATGTAGATGAACAGAAACAGGTTAAATTAAGTTAAAAGAACTAATGAGACAAGCCTAAGCTCAGGCCAAGCATTCATAATTAATAAGTCTCTGTGTCATGTTTGGGGGCTGGCGGCCCAAGAAAGTCGGCTATATTTGGTGCCCTATGTGGGGTCCAAATTTCCACATAGGGCCCGAGAAAGCTGAAAAAAATAAAACAAATCCCTGACATGGCTTCCTAGCAGTCTGGTGCTCTTAGCATACAGAGGTGCAGCTCGGCCACAAGTGAGCACTTGAGTAGCTGACACCTAAATTAGAAACAATAAGCTAAGTAAAAATGCCTGCCACATTGTGGGTACCAATTTCCTAGAGCTCGGCAGTTAAATCAGATCCTGGATAAACACAGCTCCTGGTTAAATGCAGCTCTCAGTCAGACCCACAGGGCATAAAGCCTGCCTCTCACAGATCTGAGCAGGCTAGAACCAGCCACCAGTGCAAAGCCACAGGTGCACAATAAATCAGGTCCAGACTGAGAAAAACTGAAATTACAAAACAGTTTAAAAAGGTGTGTAGGCAACAAGAAAGAAAAGAAAATGGGTATAGTCATAGTAAAAACTAAATTTAAAAATAAAGATGGGAAATACACAGGGAATCCAGATCCTGTACAGTGTGGTGACTGTACATCTTTTGAGTGTTGATGAGTGAATGACAGCTGCTGAAAGGCACTGGATTGTAAAAGGAACTGCTGAAGTAAACTAGCCTAGGTACTGTAGGGATCCTAAACTTTAAAATGGAATTCAGAAAACATATTGAGTTGGGTTGGAGAGGTTATGTTTTTGTGTCCTCAGGAAACAAAAAGCTGTGGATTCCTTCAATAACAGAGATCAGGTTTGATCAGGGGAGACCTCCTCAAAGTCCTGGCTGCAAACAGGAAGAAATAAACTAGGAAAAACTACAAGAAAGGTGGCATACATGCTGATCCCTCTGCAATGAAAATGTTCTGAGACTGATAACAATGTTACAACTAGTTTCTCCAGGACTTGACCACAGTCTAATTTTCTCAGGGTTCCTCCTGGATGCCATTACCCCCAGACAACAGGAAGCAGTCTAGAGAACAGGACACTCACATTCAGTAGGGTGGGTGGTTTTTAGTCATTTGGTGGGTTATGGATGTTTGTCATCATTTAGGGGGTTGTAGAAATATAGGATAAAAAGATAACTATTAGGTAAAGATAAAATGACTACTATTAACCTCAAATATTTTACATTGGTATGGATTTTGATATATTGATACAAATTTAAAGTTATTTTTGTTATACTGTATGTATGTTTCTACTCTTTTGGGGGGTATTACGCTTATGCAGCTTATTTAAAAATCTGATGCATAATTAAGAAATGCAGGTTAGTAGTTAGTCATCTATAACAATCAAGCTTGTAGTCATGTTAGGTATGCTTTCAAGGTTAAACAGATGTATTTTATATAGATAGGTAATCTTCAAACACTTCAGAGGCCTACAGAATAAAGCATTTATGATGTTTAATAATGCAACACTTTTCATGACAGCAAGACACTTCTGTGCTTGACAGTACCAATCTATTTCATAAAAGGACAGATGATGGGAGTCAAAGAACCTCCATACAGAGTTCGCTTTTATTGTGGCAAAGCTAGCCATTTTGGCAAGAAACTGCCTTTGCCTTAACTGACAACACTATACTGTACAAACTGGACAAGCAGGACACAAAGGAAAAAAGACTTCCGAACTTTGTCAAGATATGTGGGACAGTCCTTCAAAATCCTGGTTCACAGAAAAGTCTCTTGGATATTCTACGACTTTAAGGCAAAGACAGATGACCCAAAGTTGCAGAGGAACCTTGGGTGACTGTCCAGGCAATCAGCTGCTTCTGTCATTTCTGTAGTTTTGGAAGTTGCTTGTTCTGCTCTTCCTGTTTACTTAGGTAATATATCTTTCTCAGGGCTCTGATGTAGCTGAAGACAAGATAGGTATAGTATTTCTTGTTACCAAATTTAGAAAAGAAACTTACATAAGAGGTTAAATTTATAAGGCTGAGACATAAAAGTTTAAATTGTTTATCTAAGAAAATGTTTTTTTTTTTTTTTTGGTTTTCTTTTTTTTTTTTTTTTTTTGGTTTTTCGAGACAGGGTTTCTCTGTGGTTTTTTTTGGAGCCTGTCCTGGAACTAGCTCTTGTAGACCAGGCTGGTCTCGAACTCACAGAGATCCGCCTGCCTCTGCCTCCCGAGTGCTGGGATTAAAGGCGTGCGCCACCACCGCCCGGCTAAGAAAATGTTTTGAGGTCTAAAAAGGTAATTTTGTGTTGGTAATACAAGTTAGGATAGATTACCTAACAGGTAAATTAGGTACATAAATTCACAACTTTGGACTCACCAAGAAAGGATAGATAGAATACTTTCTCTTGGCCAGGCAGTGGTGGCGCACGCCTTTAATCCCAGAACTTGGGAGGCAGAGGCAGGCAGATCTCTGTGAGTTTGAGGTCAGCCTGGTCTACAAGAGCTAGTTCCAGGACAGCTAGGGCTGTTACACAGAGAAACCCTGTCTTGAAAAACCAAAACCAAAACAAAACAAAACAAAAACCAAAAAAATAAAGAATATTTTCTCTGAATCTGCCAAATGCAAATGGACTGAATGACTACTATAAATGTAATTCTTCCTGTTTTTATTGTATATAGCTTTACTATGTTAGAGCTAAAACCTTTTTATTTAGATAAAAAGGAGGAAGCACCTGCCTAGAATCCCTAGTGAGGGGCTGGGGTGTGGCTCAGTGGTAGAGCCCCTGCTTAGAATCCCCCAGTGAGGGGCTGGGGTGTGGCTCAGTGGTAGAGCACCTGCCTAGAATCTCCCAGTGAGGGGCTGGGGTGTGGCTCAGTGGTAGAGCACCTGCCTAGTATATATAAAGCCCTGGTTCCAGTCCTACAAAACCAATGAGACAAATACAGGGGTAGGGGAGACAGGGAAGTTGCAGCAAGATAGTTGCCCAGACAGCACATTCTGGTAGTCACATCTATGCAGGCTAGGAGTGGGCGATTCCTCCTTCCTTTGTTTCTGGCATTCATGCCTCCGCAGAGCTGCACCTATCCTATCCAAACTGCCTAAGACCCTAGGCCAGCCTGAGGCATCTACATTCATGGTCCAGGTTTGGGAGATCATTAGTGCAGGTGACAGGTGGTGGATCACGGAGAAGCTGCATGTGAAGACAATGGTGACAAGCCCCACCCATGCCTAAAGTCAAGGGAACAACACAGCCCATGGTACCTCATGAGTGAATGCCACAGTAGGCTCTCTCTCTTGTCTCTTAGCTTCTTCCAGTTCTTGACACTTGTTGGTGAGAGCTTCAATTTCCTCTCTAAAGTACAAAGGGAAAAGATGGTCTTTAGTCGTCATCTGGTAGGGAAAGCTGTCACACAGTGGTCCAGGCAGTGCTGCATAGGGACAGGCTACAGGAATGGGCTCCTGGCAACTGGTGGTCACCATCAACGCCACTGCAGGGGCTCTCTAAATTGTCACCTGTGTTCTGAGAGCCTTCAAGGGCAGGGCTGAGGATACTAGGCCCAGCCTTATTCCTGAAATATCATGAGTTGGAAAGGGGTCTGTGGAAAAGACCTTGCCTAGCGTGCGGGAAGTCCTGGGCCCATCTCCAGTACTACACAAAAGAGCAAGGTTATTCTGGCATTTGGAAGGTGGAGGCAGAAAAATAAGTTCAAGCTCATTTTTGGCTATAATAAGTTCAAAGCCAGAGTTGGGTACATGAAAGCCTGTCACACACAAAGTCAGGGTGTCCCAGGGTGGGGACACACACTCTGTGATCCCAGCAAATGTGGTTTTGACAACTGAGTGGCTGAAGTCACAAAGTTGCACACTGAAGCCAGTCTGCACTACACAGTGAGATCCTGGGCCAAACAAAATTAAAAAACACAATCAAAACTCTACTTGATACTCAGTGTACTTACCTCAAAGCCTGCTCCTGCTGGCGCCTCTCCTTCTCGCCTTCCCGGGCTATCTCCAGCTCCTTCTCCAAGTCGATCTTGGCCTGCAGCAGCTTATTCATCTCCACGCTGAGACACAAGCAGATATTTCCATGGTCACTCGACCCAAGGCTAGCCCAGCTGAAGGATGCTTCCTGTACCCTGTCACCCCGCTTCCCTCCTTAGGCACTGAATCTAGACAGGTCCTTGGTCCTAAGGACAGGGCCAGAGCATCTCTGAGGGTGCTAACTGCGCCGCTGACGCCCCTGTAGAGGGACTGTCATAGGATGAGGTCAACATGAACAGAAGCAGATAAGATCCTACCCTGAAACAAGAGACCTCAACACGACAGAGGATAGTTAAGTGACACAGAGCCTTGCTCGGTGCAAGGTCTGAACCCAGGAAGGACATGATGACACCTAGCCCCGGGGCAGGTGCTTGCATCAAGGTATGGGTGACACCATGGCCATGTACTCAGCCCTGGTTAGATTCTGTTTAAAACTCAGACCTGCCACTTCTTGCCGGAGAACCTGCTTCTCCAGGTCCCCGGTAATCTCCACACTGATGTGGAGTGGGTAGCAGGGTGACCGTCACACAATAAGGGCTTTGTATGTGGTAGCTATTGTGTTACCTTGCAGTGTGAACTGCAGCTTCCACGCCTGTGTTAGTGCAGTAAGAAAACTTTAAAAAGATGTGTTTTACTTTATGCGCATCAATGTTTTATCTCATGTATGGGCACCATGTGCAATGTCAGAAGAGCGTGTCGGATTCCCTGGAACTGAAGTTATGGATAGTTATGAGCTGCAGTGTGGGTACTGGGAATTGAACCTGTGTCCTCTCTGCCAGAGCAACAAGTGTTCTAAACCACTGAGTCATTTCCTTGGTCCCCCTGTGTTAATCATTTCACAATGATTAACAATTAGACCATCTGTGGCTATGCAGAGTTGGAATGTTACAGGTCCCAAAGCAAAGCTATCTGGAAGCCATTAGTTCTAACAGCCACATATGTCCATCTCTGTGTCTGACCTCACATCCATGGGACTTTTCCTTTCAGAAGGTATAAGCAGACCTCTGGCTCCCACCAACTCAAAGACTAAGAATGTCCCCAGACTGGGTGGTGGCGGCGGCACACAATATTAATCCCAGCACTAGTGAGGCAGAGGCAGGTGGATCTCTGGGAATTTGAGACCAACCTGGTCCACAAAACATGAGTTCCAGGACAGTTAAGGCTGTTACACAGAAAAAGAAATCTGTGTCTCAAAAACCAATCAACCAACCAACCAACCAACAAACAAACAAAAAGAATGTCCCGAGCTGGGCGGTGGTGGCGCACGACTTTCAGGAGGCAGAGGCAGGTGGATCTCTGTGAGTTCGAGACCAGCCTGGTCTACAAGAGCTAGTTCCAGGACAGGCTCCAAGACCACAGAGAAACCTTGTCTCGAAAAACCAAAAAGAATGTCCCTAGACAGCATCTTCAGCTGTTGCTGAGATTCCCCGGGCTACGCTGTACCCTGTCTTCCTGTGGTGTCTCTAGACAGCACCTGCAGCTGTAGTGGAGCTCTCCCGGCTCCGCTGTACCCTGCTACCTGTAGTTTTCACCAGTGTATTCTAAATCACCTCAACTTAGGGCTTTCTTTGTTCTGGTACTTTAAAAACTTCATGAAACTGTCCCATAATGGAACACGGTATTTAAGGTAACTATAGTAACTCATATCTGGCTATAGAATAAACTGCTAACTCCTTTGGGGAGAGAACTGTGTGTTTTTTTTTTTATTGTTTTGTTTTGCATTGATGAGAGCTTGACAGAAAATGCAGAAGTTACTTCAAAATGACCAATGTCATTTAAATTATTTTTATATATAGTGTGTCATGCATGCAGACTTGCACATGTACCATGATGCACATGTGGAGGTCAGGGGAAAACTTGGGGGAGCTGGTGCTGGCCTCCCACCATGTGGGTCCCAGGATCTAATTCAGGCCATCAGACTTGGTGGCAATTTCCCTTATCTGCTCTCAGGCCCACCATCATGACTACAAAGGTATCCATGAAATGCTACTTCTTACAAGGAACCTTCCGCCAACTTCCATCAATGCCTAGGAAACTAGGCCACAAGGCAGCTGGGGCCCTTGCTCTGTACATGGGGCACAACCGGCAGGGTTTCACAGCCCTCAACTTTTACATTTTCTGCCTTCTCACAGTGCCATGGTTTTAGGGCTCGAATTTAAGCTGGCCCACAAGCTAGGCAAGTTCAATACCACGGCTACATCTCACATGCGAGGCAAGATCTGTACCCCAGTTCTGTACCCCAGAGTTACATCCCCAGACCTTGGACTTTTGAGCTTCACTATGTAGCCAGACTTATTATCAAACTTGAGATCCTCCTGCCTCAGCCTCCAAGTGTTGGAATTACAGGTGCATGCCACACCTGGCTTCCCAGAGGGTCGGGTCTTGGGGTCCTCTATCCTAACCTCTCCAGCTGAATGGGGCTTCGAAAGCTGCAATCCCAACTAGCTCCTAGGTGGGTGGAATCTGAGGCCCTTGCATACCCAACAGCTCCCAGGCAGTCAGGGCTAAGGCCCTCAATCCAGTTAGCTCCCGAGTGGGACCACAAAGTTAGCATCCCTAGCCAGCTCATGGGTGGGTAGAAGCTGAGGCCCTGTACATCCCACCAGCACTCAAATTAATGGGACTTAAGGTGGGCAGGGCTTGAAACCCTAACCTCTCCATCAGGCCCTGGGCAAGCAGGGAAGGGTGTGGGGAGCAGGGACAAGGTCTGCATTCGCAACCAGCATTCATGTGAGTGGGGCCTGAGGTTTGTACCTGGCCCAAGGACTTCCAAGGAGGGTGGTGGGTAGGCCTTGCTTCCCATACCAGCTTTCCAGGTGGGTGGGGCCTGAGACCCTTCATCTCCAAAAGCTTTCAGGGTGGGCAGGGCTGATGGCCTTGGTCACAGTTTTTTTTTTTTTTTTTGGTTTTTCGAGACAGGGTTTCTCTGTGGTTTTGGAGCCTCTCCTGGAACTAGCTCTTGTAGACCAGGCTGGTCTCGAACTCACAGAGATCCGCCTGCCTCTGCCTCCCGAGTGCTGGGATTAAAGGCGTGCGCCACCACCGCCCGGCCCTTGGTCACAGTTTTATGACAGCAATTTAACTAAGACACAGAGGCTGGCTTTGAACTGGTGATCTTCTTGCCTACACCCCTCCAAGTTCTGAGACTGCAGGCAAGCGCTGCCCTCCCCGTGATATGGGTGTTCAGGGCTATGAAACAGGGATGCACTAACTCCTACAGGCCAGGCACTTCAGGCCTCCAAGTCAGCCACTTACTCTTTCTCCGCCAGCTGTGCCTGCAGTGCGCTCCGCTCCCCCTTCAGGATCTTCACGGCTCCTTGGAGATGCTCTTCATCCTCGGATGGATCCCCTTTGGGCTGGTCCTCTTTGGACTGGTCCCCTTTCGGCTGCTTTTGCACTGAGATGTTGGATGAGGAGTGGACCAGGGGATTCGGCTTGACCAGCTCTGAAGTAGAGAGCTTTGGGTTTTCTGAGGAGCTCACCTTCTGGGGGCAATGAAGGCATCTGTTAACTTTACCTCTGTGAGACTCAGGGGTGGCCAATCTCCAGTGTGTGGGAGACGCTTTGCTGTGGGGACCGAGTCAGCAGGTTCCCTTCCCATAGTGCTGGCTAGTCCCAGAGGCAGGACATGGGTCAGAGCTACCAACACCATATATGATGAAAGCCACCAAGGAGGGAGGCAGGCAAGGAGGATGCACACATCGGAATTCGGGTATCTCCAACCCCTGTGCTTGCTGTTCAACCAGTCCAGTTCTGTCTGAAAGTGCCGCCTGTTTCCCCAGGCCTTTGCTATTGGGTCTCTGGATATACCTGGATTTCCCAGCATGCTTTACATATTAAGTATTTCCACAACACAGAAACTTCTTTCCCTTTCTGCTCTGTCTACTTTTCTATGTTCTAATTTGTCAAGACCTGACTATATTTAAAATATTCTCCCTTGGGCCTTGTACAGCTTTGTCAAACAACTGGGAAACTCTGGTTCAGAACTTTTTCTTTCAACACTGGGGATGCAACCCATGCTGGGAAAGTCCTGTGCCACCAAGTCAGGCACAGATTCTAGGCAGGTGCTCTATGTCTGAGCCACACCCCCAGTCATTCATTGTGGAGTCCAGGCAGGCGCTCTACCACTGTGCCATGGCCCCTGCCCTTGCCTAGAGTCTAGGAGGCACCGTGTCACTAAATTATGTCCCTGGCATTCTACCTCAAGATCCTAACAGGATGGACAGGTTTCCCAGAGCCAGACTCCTCTATGGGGCCAGTGTGGGGGTGGGGGAAGAGGAACAGCAGCTCATGTCTGCTGGCAGAAGTGTAAATGAAGAGACTGCTGAGGATTCGAGTATTATAAAGACGTTTGGGACTTGCAGATGTGTGCACCAGGCTAGACCACAGGCAGGCACTTTGTGGTCGTACACATCCACCGGTGGCTACAGGATGCCTAGTGATGGGTTCTTGGGCTGGCCCTCCATAAAATGAGGGCTGTGTCAAGCCTTGCCCAGACCTGCAAGTACGAATGTCTTTCCTGTGCACTTGGTAAGGCCTGCTAAGCAACCCTACGTGCGTGTGGAGTGGCTCATCTCACTCTGGGACTCTGTATCCCTACTAACCCAGACAGTGGCTGCTCCTTGGCAGGTAGGCCCCATGAGACATTAGACCTGCACTTACCTTTTCCAACTCTGCGATGCGTCTCAGCAGCCGGGGCTTGCTCCAGTCTACATAACCTAAGGAGGGCAACGGGGTTTACAAGACAGTGCCCATGGGCCCTGTAGCAGGGCCTCTCTTCTGAGACATGGACTCAGTGCTTCCCACTGCACGGACTGACAGCCAAGCAACAGACCCACTGGGCAGGTGCTTGTCACCCAAGGGCTGGCTTCAAACTTACTATATAATAATGGAGGACAACCAGTGATCTTTCTGCCTCCATCTCCTGTGTGCTGAGATGCACGTTTTATCATGCCTAGTTTATGTGTTGATGGGGATTGAACTCAGGGCTCCAAGGACTCTAGGCAAGGACTCTCCCAACTGAGTTGATTTGTCACTCTGCTAAACTCCAGATGCTGGTCTCACTCTTCACCTGAGACACTCAAAGCTCGCTGTCACACTCTGGCCACTGCTGACCATGCACTACTAACTGCCCCTCATTACCTAACCTTCTAAATGTTCCAGGCTTAAGACTTGACTTTGCTCTTCTCCGGCACCCATCTTGCTGGGTGCCATCACTTGGTTCTGTCTGTCTGCCAGGGACCTGCAGTACGCCCAGTTCTCCAGCATGGTGGGCACCTGTCTCAGCTTCACTGCTCAGAAAAAAAGCCCTGGGGCCTACGGCAGGAAGAGCCTCTCAGCAGGAGACCCCTCCCCTAGTCTATATTAGACCTGGGTTCTATCCCCAGTACTGCAAAGCAAAGCAAAGCAAAGCAAAAGCCCCAGTGTCTTGCAGGCCAGGAGATCCAGAGAGATCTCTCCCTATATCTCCGCAGCCCCACGGGCTCAGGCTCCTTGGACTCTCCCTGAACCATAGTGGCACCCGTCCTACCGACAAGTCCTTTTGCACAGGTAAGGGGACATGTCTGATTGGAGGCTTGTGACCAAGTTCTCCATGTTTGAATGGGGCCCGCTTCCTATCTTTCACCATAGAACAAGACATGACCTGTCTCCTTGTGTCTCCCTCTGTGAGTGGCCTGCCGGCAGATACCCTTTATTTTGGAGACAGTGGGGGAATTGCTGAGCATGCGGTCCAGGTCCTCCTTCAGGCTCTGGTTCTCCTCTGTCAGCTCCTGCACACTCCGGGTCAAGTTTAGCAGGGCACTGCTCATCTTCTTCTGCCTCTTCATACCCAGCTTCTTCTCCACTATGGGCCTGGGGATAAGCAAGGGACAAGCTGAGGGCCGCACTTCTTGACTGGGAAACATCTCAAACAGGAACACGGACGGCTTCTTACCAGGTTCTGAGGTCAGAGTGCCTTATACACAAGAACATTAACAATCTGACCGGAAACCAGCTCTGATTCCCCAATTAGGGAAATGTAACTTCAGCTGATTATTTATTTTTTAAATACAGGAATGCCAGGCAAGGGCTCTACCAACTGTTCTGTACCCAGTGCCTTCCATTGTTAAGACTGGGTCTCCATACGTATTCCAGGTTGTCCTGGAACTCAGGATTCTCCTTCCTCCACCTCCTGAGCATTGCCATGATGAGGGTATGTTACCAGACTCACCTCTATTTTATTTCTTGTACTTTGTGCATGTGTATAATATGGCCATGGAGTAGGTTGGGGACGTAGCTCAGTTGGGGGAATGCTTACCTAGCATGTAGGAGGCCCTAGTTTCCTTTCTCAGGACCACCATGTGTTTATTTAAATATATACATAGCTACATATATACATGAGTGGTCCTATAGCAAGGTGCCGAGCGCCCCCTAGTGTTCACTTGGCTTTTGGTCTCTGGTTCTGTATTAGAAAGTCACTATTATAGTATAGTGAATCAATACTATATATTACATGCATGTCTTTAAAGACATGTAATATAACAGGACAGACTCCACCTGTCTTTGTGTGTGTGCACGTATGCGTGTGGCGTATGTACATGTGCGCATGGGTACCATGGCTGGAGGACAGTGTTGGGTGTCCTACTCTATTGCTCCCCACCTTTTCCCTTGAGACGGGGCCTCCCACTCAGCCTGGAGCTAAGCTGCCAACCAGCGAGTCTTATGGACTGGATCTTTCCTCTGTGTAATCCCCTGACCTCCTAGACTCTCCGTCCTGCCAGCACTGAGGTTACAGAGAGGCAGACATGTCTGGCTTTGTTTTGCACAACAGACTAGAGCTTCAACCAGGGAGCTACCTTCTCAGCCCTATATGGCTCTTTAAGAGAATATCTTCCAGCTGCTGTCTGGAGCGACTGGGGACAAAGGAGAAAAAGGATAGCCACACCTGGTGCCGGCAGTTTACACAGAAGCCTGTGGTATGGGCAGATCTGTTTTACATATACATCATACATCCGTATCTATATCAATATAGCTATATATCTGCTTGCAGGTGCCTATGGAGGCCACCAGAGGCATCAGATCCCCCAGAGCTGGAGTTCCAGGCATTAGAGGCTGCTTGGTGTGGGTGCTACAATTGTTGGCATTTTGGCATCATATCGTTTACAAAAGATAGGTACAACCTACACAGTAAAGAGACCTTAACTTGTCGGGCAGTGGTGGCGCACGCCTTTAATCCCAGCATTTGGGAAGCAGAGGCAGGCGAATCTCAGTGAATTTGAGGCCAGCCTGATCTACGAAATGAATTCCAGAACAGTCAGGGCTATTACACAGAGACACCGTGTCTCAAAAAACAAAACAAAACAAAAACAAAAAAACAAAAACAAAAAAAAGAGAGACCTTAACTTGGAAAAACTTTAACATCAAAAACAAAACAACAAAACAAAAAAGTTTCAAACAAGTAAGGTGGAGATTGCTCTGAAGACCAGCGCTCTCCAGTTCTAGGCTGGAAGCGGCCATGGGACTTCTACAGTTCCCTCTTGGAGCATGGGCCTGGGGGACTGTCAGCAGGCGGTAAGAACAAAAGAGGCTGTGACAAGGCCAACAGATATGCATCAATGCGACTATCAGGAATAAGCGATGAGGGCTGGGTGAAGGACTCAGTGGTAGAGCACCTGCTATACAACCATGAGGACTGGAGTACCCGAGTTAAAAAGCCAGGCAACACTGGGAGATACTAACAGGAGGATACCCGGGGCTCCAGGTTCCCTGGGACACCCTGCTTCAGAAAACAGGGTGGAGACACCTGACGCTGACTGGTGGTCTCCATATGTGCACACATGTTCATATACACATGAATATGTACACATGGATGCAACACACACAGTAAGCCTTGCACAGCTGCCAAGAAAAGGGAGAGCGAGCCAGTGGCAGGTAAGGACCACCCGGCTTTCAGAGTGGCCTCGACAGTACAAAGACACACGTATGATCATACCTCTTTCCTGTGGCGTCAGTACTCGCTAGGAGGGTCTGCAGACGATGGATCTGTGAGGGTGAAAAGGGAAGGTGTCAGAAACACAACAGAAGAGGGGGACAGCTTTCCCGAATCTGGCTTTATTCTGAGAAAACTATGCTGTGGTGACTTCTGCATGTCCTCTGAGCCCGAGTGCGGGCAGAGCTGCAGGTTTCAGAGCATCAGGCTCCTCCCTCTCCACAGGCTTCAGGGTGCACACACCTCCTCATAGTATGTCTCCATGGCGATGCGCATCTCCTCCAGGTTGGTGGTCTTCATGTCCGTCTGCAGTTTGCTGGAAACCCAAGTTCAGAGTTAACATGGTGGGTCTAGAGCACCCAGAAGACAGGCAGAGGAGGAGGCACTCCCGGAAGTCAGAGAGGAGATGGCAATAGGAAAGAGAAGCCCAACATTGGCCTTAACCATGTGAATCCACAATTCTGGAACAACCACACCAGCCAAGTGTCCTCCTGGGTGGCACCGGCCACTTCCCCCATGAGCCCACAGACCATCGGCAGATGGTCTTCTCTAAGAAAGGCTACCCTGCAAACATTGGGGTCACAGTACCAAGGGACCCTGCATCACCTTCAGAGCAGAACAGCCCACTTTATAAAGAGGAATCAGAGTCAGGTATAGTGACACATGCATGTTGTCCCAGCATTCCACAGGGAGGCAGGTACAGGAGGACCATGACCTCCAGCTCAGCCTGGGCTACATAGCATGATGCGGTCTCAAAGCAAGACAGAAGGAAAAATAAAAACAAATCCTTTGCTCCCCGCCACCACCAGCACTGTCACCTTGCCCTTAATATGCTACACGCTTCAGAAGGAAGGCATAGGAGGAAGCAGAGCTCAGGACACAAAACAGGAAATCAGCACACACCCAGACTCACACGGACAAATTTCATTGAGAAACAAGTGAGGGCCAGAAATGCCGTAGGAATCGGAACACAGGTGCGGATAGGTTGCTGCAATTTTCTGAAAATGGACTTAACCATATTTAAGATCATCTCTTATGCTTAGTGAGACCAGAAAGAAGCAGGGAGGACCAGGGCGGGGGGAAAAGGGGGAGGGAGAAGGTGGGCGCAGCACAGTGTCTGCTGAGAGGAATCCAGACCCAGAATGTTCACGCTGGACATCAGAGGTGATCGTCATTTATACAGGGGTGGGGCCTGGGGAGTAAGAAGTTGAAGAGAAATGCTGTTTCCTACGAAATTTAGAGGGAATCTGAATTAAAGAGAAAGCTAAGCTTAAATGTGTAGTCCAGTCATACAGGTTCCTCAGGACCCAAGACAGAAGGCTTGAGATTCAAGGCCTTATGGCCTGATCAATACAAGGAGGTTTTGTCTCAAAATTAAAAGTGAAAACAGGACTGGGGTGTGGCTCAGTTGTAGAGCACCTGCCTAGAATCCCCCAGTGAGGGGCTGGGGTATGGCTCAGTGGTAGAGCACCTGCCTAGTGGTAGAATGCTTGTTCCTACCCTGGCGTACAGGAAAGGGAGAAGATAGCATTTCTCATAGTTTTAGGTTGGAACAAAGATGTGGCAAGAAGGCAGAACCGACTCAGAATGGAAAGGGTAGATGGAAGAGAGGTCAGTCTTTGCTGGCCCAGTGCAGCACCCAACAGACGCTGGGGCCCTCCCACCACCAGCTCCCCTCAGGTCCTACTTGATAGTGTTGTCCTTTTCCTTGCACTGTTGCTCCAGCCTGAAGATCCTTTGCTTGAGCCCGGTGATGACCTGCCAGCAGAGGGCCACCACCTCAGCACAGTCACCCACCAGGGCTCCGCCTGCTGGGTCCTCTCCTAAGAGAGCCTATGGATGCTGAGCTTCTTTCTATCAGGGTTCTTGCACATCCATCCCTCCTTCCTTAGTGCGCTCCTAGTGATGACTAAGGGCCTTCAATAAGCTCCCCCACTGAGAAGCGCTGAGGAAGGGACATGGAGAGCAAGAGGCAGGGCCAGAGGGCAGCAGCCAGCCCTCGGGGTCCCATGGCAGCTGTTCTAGGGACCACACTGCATTCAAGGAGATGACTACATGTGCAGTCAGTTGCTTAATAACAAAGAAGTCACCAGAACCTGGATGCTGCCCTGCGCCTAGGACCCACTGGGACCCAGCAAGTCCTTGTCCAAGGTAAAGGGGCTGCTGGGCAGGCTTAGCCTCCTTCTCCTTAATGTCTCCTTGGGGAGGTATTTCCATTACAACCTAAACAACTTTGTTTTTCAAGAGTCAGGGTCTCCCTGTGTGGCCCAGGCTGGTGTTTGTCTTCTGATCCTCTTGACTCAGCTTCCTGAGTGCTGAATTACAAGCTTGGGCTTCTAGACTGGTTTACAATTGCTACTTTGAATCAACTTCAGACTTACAGACAACACACACACACACACACACACACACACACACACACACACACACACACACGGCATTGGAACAATAAAAATTCAGGGCTTGGGGAGATGGCTCAGTGGTTAAGAACAGTGGCTGCTCTTCTAAAGGATCCGGGTTCAATTCCCATCAAGCATATGATGGCTCACAGCCATCTGTAACTCTAATTCCAGGGAACATGATGCCCTCCCCTCCTTCTGACCTTGGAGGGCACCAGACATGCATATGGCACATAGACATACGTGCAGATAAAATACCCACATACATAAAATTAAAAAAAAAACAGGGTTCTCTCTATGGAAATATCTGTTCATTCATTAATGAGTTCTATATCTTCCTCCAATGTCCTAGGGTAGACATTTCAATTAATACTACATTATTACATATATACTTTCCTTTTTTTCCTTTCTCAGAGGTTTCATGTAGCCCAGATTGCCTTTAAAATCCTTCTTTCCTCCACGACAATCTGGACTTTTGATCCTCCTGCCTCCACTTCTCCCATGCTTGAATTTTACAGTATTCTTTAAAAAGGTTAACACTGGGGCCTGGTAAGATGGGTAAAGGGACTTGGCACCAAGACTGAAGACCTGAGTTGGATCCCTGGAACCCACATGGTGGAAGGAGAGAACTGATTCCCACAAACTGTCCTCTGACCTCCACATACACCCTGGTATGTGAGTACCCCTCTCAATAGATAAACATAAAAATACTTTTTTAATTAACAAAAAATATTGTGAGGTTTCTATGAACCACTTTGGATGGCTCTGCAAACTGCCATTCTGGGCAGCTACTGTCATACCTGACAGGTGGTCAGGAGGGTGAGCCTGTCAAGAGCAGTATGACAGACAGAGCAGGCGCACTGCACGGGTCCCAGTATGCAGGCCTCGCCAGCGCTAGCACTTGGTGCGGAGGTTCTGAGTACTCCTGTTTTTATCTTGGCCCTGCCCAATCTGGTTTGCACCATCCTTGCTAATTTTGTTGCTTTATGGTGTAAGGTTTTACTTGGAGTAACTTAAAATCATTTCTTTCCTCCAGTACATAGTGCTGGTGGGAAGAGAAGCTAAGTCGAATGCAACCACCATCCCTGCCTTCCCTGAGCCTGGGAGATCAGGGAGAGTCAGATTTGGGTAAACCTCTGAACCTCGTTTTCTTGCTTTTAAAATGAGGGCTGGGGGCCAGGGAGATGGCTCAGTAGCTCAAGTGCTTGCTGTACAAACATGAGAAACTGAATTTGTAAAAAGCCATTGTCTTATCAGATGGTGGTGGCTCACACCTTTAATCCCAGCACTTGGGAGGCAGAGAAAGGCAAATCTCTTGTGAGCTGGAGGCCAGCCTGGTCTACAGAGTGAGTTCCAGGACAGGCTCCAAAGCTACAGAGAAACCCTGTCTCAAAAAACAAAACTAAACAAAACAAAAAAGCCATTGTTTCATTGTATGCCTGTAACCTCGGCACTGGGAAGGTGGAGACAGGAGCACATAGGTCACACACGCGCACGCGTGCGCACACACACACACCCCACACGCAATCATACACAAGCACACATCCGTGCTGACTGCACAGTCACAACTTTGGGATTTGTTGTTTTCTTTTTTTTTTTCTTTTTTTTTTTTTTTTTTTTTTTTTCGAGACAGGGTTTCTCTGTGGCTTTGGAGCCTGTCCTGGAACTAGCTCTGTAGACCAGGCTGGTCTCGAACTCACAGAGATCTGCCTGCCTCTGCCTCCCGAGTGCTGGGATTAAAGGCGAGGGATTTGTTGTTTTCTAAAGGACATTTTCTTGCAGTGCAGGGGGCACACGCCTTTAATCCCAGCACTCAGGAGGCAGAGGCAGGTGGATCTCTGAGTTCTAGGCAAGCCTGGTCTACAGAATGAGTTCCAGCACAGCCAGGACCACACAGAAAAATCCTGTCTTGAAAACAACAACAAAAACAATAACAAAGACATTTTCTTGAGCTAGCAGAGTGCCCCTGAGGTCGCAGCACAAGAGAGGCTGAGGCTGGAGATTACTTGAAATCAGAAGGCCCAAGTCAGCCTGGGTAACATAACAAGACCCTGTCTAAATAAAAGAAATAGTTTTCTTGTGGCCATATACTGACTTTGAGTCCTAAAGACAGAACACCTTTAATCATTTATGCTAAATGTGTATTTCTATATGATATAAATATATACACAGACTATGCATGTATACATATACAGCATATGTATATATACATGCATATGTGTATGTGATGGACATGACGTACATGAAAACTATTTTCAGGCACTTAAATATTTTTATTGCCTTTATTAATATTGGGGGTTGGGTGGGGAGTGTGTGCCACGCTCTCATGTGGAGGTCAGAGGACAACTTTTAGGAGCTAAAGTCTCCTTCCTTGTGCGTTGCTAGGACAAGACTCAGGTCATTCATTGGGTTAGTGGCAAGTGCCTCAACGCCAGTCTTGCTGGTCCTATCTCACAGATCTTGCCTCTGGAGTATCTTTATTCCTGAGCTATTCTGCATACTCCTGACAGGGAAAACTGCAGTAACCTAAGTCCCTGCTTTGCGACAATCTTTCCAGTTTCTCTTTAGTCTTAGGGCTTTGCTATACTTTTCTTTACGACCCCAAGCCCATTAGCCTACTGCTGTCTCACTCCTTGAACCTTGACTCATGGGGACAATGACATATTCCATACCCACCCAACCCCCACCCGTTTTAAGTATCTTTTTTTTTAAGATTTATTTATTTATTATGTACACAACATTCTGCCTCGATGTATGCCCACATGCCAGAGGAGGGTGCCAGATCTCATTACACATGGTTGTGAGCCACCATGTGGTTGCTGGGAATTGAACTCAGAACCTCTGGAAGAGCAGCCAGTGCTCTTAACCACTGAGCCATCTCTCCACCCCCCCCCCCCATCCGTTTTAAAACAGAAATTGTGGTTTGGATGTAATTCCCAAGTTGTATTCTGAGACTCTGATTTTTTTTGTTTTGTTATTTTTTTTTTTTTTTGCTTTGTTTGTTTGTTAGTATTCTGAGACAGAGTCTCACGTAGCCCAGGCTGGCCTCTATGGAGCAGAGGCTGGTCTTGAACTCCCAAGTGCCTTCTTATTATTTAGTTATTAAACTTGTGTTCCCTTCCTGGCCCTTTTCTGCAGCCAGGCTCCCACACTCTCGCCCGAAGCCTCTGTGACTGTGTGGCATTTGTTCCACCCTTTTCAGCCTCTGCAAAGCCTGCTGCCCTCTGACATCCCTCAGAGTACTGTCCTGTGATCTTCTACAAACAACAGTTCTAGAAGGTTCTGAGGCCATGCCCTTCCTGCAGTTCCACTAGGACCTCAGCGGAAAGCTCTCCTTGGAGCAGGAGGCTCTACTTACCCAACCAGTGTCAGGCCTTTTCTCGGCCAGGGTTCGCACGAAGTCTGGGCCCTGTGGGAGGCAGATGGAGACATCAAGCCCACGGTGGCGCTTCCTCCTCTCTGCTTCCCACGGCAGCACTGGCATCACTAGCCAGCAGGACGGTTCTGTGGGCCCTGGGACTTACTCGACCTGGATCCAAGAGCTGTTCTATCTGTCGATCCTTTCTGTTGTTCTCCTCTTCCAAGCGCCGAAGCTTTGTTCTCATCAGATCCACATCGCTTTTCTGCATATGTAAGGACTGGAGAAGAAAAGGAGGGCGGGGCTGGCAAGATGGTTCTCCGGTAAAGGGGCTTGCCACCAAGCCTGATGTCCTGAGTTCAATCCCCAGGACAGGCACACACATACTTGCATGCACGCAGGCATGCATGCACACAATGGAAAGAGCCATCTTCCCCAAGGTGTTCTCTCGCCTTTATGCACACACAAAATAAATAAATGTAAAACCAAAACTCAACCAACAATCCAAAAACAAACCAGAGGAGAACCACATTAATACAAGGTATGTATAAGAGAGAGAATATCCCGTCTCTCTCTCTCTCTCTCTCTCTCTCTCTCTCTCTCTCTCTCTCTCTCTCGTTCCTCAACCCAGGAAGCCTAGACCTGGCAGTAATTCTTCTGTCTCAGTTTCCTAATTACTGGGATTAGTCACACTTGGCTTTGAAAGATTTTTAAAGCCCTGGGGGTCATGGGCTCAGCAATTAAGAGCAGGGGCTGCTCTTCCAGAGGTCTGGAATTCAATCAGTCCCCACATGGGGGCGCACAACACACAACCATCAGGTCCACAGAATCCAGGGGATCTGATGCCCTCTTCTGGTCTGCAGGTGTACATGAAAACAAGACATTGATAAAAAGAAAATAAACAAATCTTTTAAAAAAATTTTTTTAAAACCTGGGAGGTGGTGGTGCACGCCTTTCATCCCAGCACTCAGGGGGCAGATGCAGGCCGATATATGAGTTTGAGGCCAGCTCTGGTCTACAGAGCTAGTTCCAGGGTAGCCAGAGCTACACAGAGAGACTCTGTCTAGAAACATGCTCCCTACCTAATTCCCCGGTGTCATGCAGTGGGGCAATCGGGCAGCAAGGGGTGTGAGAGTAATCCCAACACTGAGGGCGTAGGAGAAGCCAGAGCACCGGCCTCCTTTCCCATCACAGTGCCGAGGGCAGCCACTGACAAAGACTTTCAAGCCCATGAATATTGGCCCTGGAAAGTCCCAAAGCCCTGCACTTGCTTCCATCTGTCATAGCACAGTCTGATGCTCCTTAGCAATACTAGCACAGGATTTAGCAGTCAAGAACACACACTGCTCTAGCAGAGGACCTGAGCTGAGTGCCCAGCACCCTCAGTGAGTTATTCAAAATTGCCTATTACTCTCACTCTGGTGGATTCAATGCCCTCTTACAGCCTCCAAAGGCATCCGTACGCACATGCACACAGAAGCCCACAACCCCCTAACACACACCCATCATTTAAAAAAAAAGTAATAATGAAGGAACACTAGCCCTCAGCTGTGCCTGGAGAGAGATGCTCCCAACATCCCCCTGTGGATGGGTTTTCTTATCAAGCTTTGGCAGGTCAAAGGGGAAAAAGATCCTGTAGTCAACTCTTATTTAATTTTATTTTTTGAGGTTCTGAACTTGAACTCAGTGGGCACTCTACTGTTAAGCCAAGCCCCCAAACCCTTCACTGATAGCAGTCTAGGCAAGTGTCCAACCACTGAGCCACACCCAAGCCCTTCACTGGGGGATTCTAGGCAGGAGCTCTACCACTGAGCCACACCCTGAGGCCCTCACTGGGGGATTCTAGGCAGGAGCTCTACCACTGAGCCACACCCCAGCCCCTCACTGGGGGATTCTAGGCAAGGGCTCTACCACTGAGCCACACCCTGAGGCCCTTATCATGGAATTGATTCTATACTGCACTCTGCTGTTCCATGATGGAACATTGCACCATGTACATTCTAGAAAGTACTCTACTATTATGTCTCCAACTCCCTCAGGCAGATCTCCAAAAACTTACAATGATGAGTTTGAATAAAGTCAGGTCATTTTCCCTGAGGCCTATTCCTAGCCCAAATATGGCTCTCACTGTTACAAGGTGTTACCGTTGGGAGCTGTCTATAAAAAAAAGAGTCTCCCAGGCAGAACAGGAACCCCTCTACCCTGCCACCAATGGCAGCTCGGCCTCAGCTGGGAATGTCCACAGAAGGGACAGCAAGTCCTTTTCAGGGGATCCTTTAGCTACTGCACAGGTGCCATGTTCGCATTTTGGAGACAGGGTATCATGCATCCCTGGTTACCCTTGAATTTACTACGTTGCCCAGCTGGCTTTGCATGCCTTACTCTCCTGCCTCCTCAGTGCTGGGATGACCGCCATGCACTACCATGCCTGGCAAGCCCACTGCCTCTTCTGCAGTTGGTGGCCAGGCCTTTCACTCAGCCAGGATGGCCGGCCAGCTTCTACGGTACGGTGCCAGGGCATGGACTCCTTGTGGCTGGCACTTATTTCTCAGCAGGACACTGACTTTTAGTCAGGGAGGGCTATCACTGTCAATCATAGAGGAGCAGAACAAACCCTACCTTCTTCAACTCGATGATCTCATCATACATGTCCTCTTTCTCTCTGTAGACAGAAGTTCCAGAGACATGACCTGTAGGAAGACACACACCTCTTAGGACATTGTGGGACAGTAGAAAGGACCCCTGGTTATGCCTGAAGGGAAACCTGAAAGTTAATAAAACTGTACTTGTTTGCTTGCTAAGATAGAAGGGTCCCACTGGTTAGCCCAGATGGCCTGGAGTTCAAGATGCTCCTGCCTCAACCTTCTCAGTGCTGGAGAGACAAGGGAGTGTCCTCCAGCCTGGCTGACGGAGTGTGTGAGTGTGTGTGTGTGTGTGTGTTGTGAGCCTCTGTTCATGCAGAGACCAGACATGGGCAGTACTGTTCTCTGGCTCTCTGTCTTATTCCCTTGAGACAGCATCTCTCACCAACCCTGTGGTAGGCTGGGAGGCAGCAAGCCCTGGTGGTCTCCATCTCTGCCCGCCACAGTGCTGGGTTACCGGGCTCACAGCTGGCTCTTTGCATGGGTGCTGAGATCTGAGCTCAGTCTGCATAGCAAATGTTCTTATCCATTGAGCCATCTCTCCACTTATGGAGGTTTTAATGACATTTAACTGGTTATAAATTCAAAATAAGCCTAAACTGTTATCCTAATAAGTAGAGTTGGTTCACAGGGACATGGAGCCGGCCATCGCCATGTTGGAGAGCTATTCCTCTCTACTAAGGCCCCCATGAGAGAGAGGCCACCAGGCCCCATGGGCAAACACTAGTAAGGAACAAACAAGGAATCAGCACGGTGCCTGGGAGGTAGCAGCACTTGTTGCCAAGCCTGAAGACCGGACTTCCATTCCAAGGCCTCCCATGGTGGCAGGAGGGAAATGACCTCACAAGTTGTCCTCTGACCTCCACATGCCTGCCACAGCACATACGCAGCCCACCCAGACGTAAGGAATTTATATGTATTTAAGGAGGGTGACATGATGGCTCGGCTATGAAACTCTCTTCAGGAATCATCATCTCTTGGAACATTCTAGAATGGCCTACTGATGGAGCTGGTGCATAAAGCCAAACAAAATCTCACCCCTCAATTGCTAGAGGCTTTCCTTTCTGCTCTCCTGGCCTTGTCCCTGGGAGCATGCTCACCATGGCTGCCAGAACGCCGGAGGTCTGCCCTCTTCGCTCTTAAGGCTTCTGTCAGGTGGTCGGGCGTGCAGCTGGGGGGGTGGGTCCATGCGTGCTCCGAGGTAAGCGTGGAGCTCAGGGGTTGGGTCACACTTCCTGGTTTGAATGTGCATGGGTTTAACAGGGCAGGTATAAACAGAGTCTGCGAAGCTCAACCTCTCATCAAGCTCCAGGGGTGGAGGAAGCCAGGAGGCAGGGTGAACTGGTAAATGCCGAACAAGCAGCTCTCGGAGGTCAGCCCAGGGAGCCTGGGGGTGTCACATGTGCCCATTCCCCTGGTGTAAGACACTTCCGGTTTCCAGGGTGACAAAGACCAGCTCACAGAAACGGTAACAGTCGTCTCCGGCAAGCTGGCAGGGACTGGCTCCACGACACCTCTGCCACAGGGCCGTGCTGAGATAACCTCCAACAAAAGGGGCTGGAATGTCCTCAGGTGGGACTGGGAAAGCCACACCCGCCAGTGACATGTCAATGTCTTTGAGAAGATCCAAGGCAGGCTCACCGAAACCACATGCCTCATACATGCTAATCATTCTCGGTTTCCCACACCGGATCTCTAGCCAGAGCATCCTCTACAGGAGTCACGTACCATGTTTTGAGGTTCCCAGCCACAGCTTTTGTGGGGTCAAGGACATTCTGCTGCTCAGAGGCATGCTCCCTCCTGTCTTCAGAGACCGCCAGGATGTCACTTTTCTGGGCTTGGAGTTGTAAGGTGATTCTGGGGAGGTCACATGCAGTTTAGAGCTGTGGGGCTGCTGTCCCTCAGCACCTCTGCTTTACAAAGAAAGAAACTGCTCAAACACAACAGGCAAAGGGCGCTCCAGGAGGAACACATGCTGGCAAACTCCAGGATGCATCGTAATTTACTGTGAAGTGAGTTCTTACTACATGGACAGGCCAGGCTAGGCGGGAAACCCTGCTCAAGAGAACCTTTTTCTGTTTCTTAAAGACCTATTTTTATTATTGTAAATTATGTTTAGGATGTATGTCTCTGTGTGGATGGGTGTAGGCAGTCATAGTGGCAGAGGAGTTAGATCTTCTGGAGCTGGAGTTACAGATGGTTGTAAGTGGGTGCCAGGAACCAAACACAGGCTCTCTGCAAGAGCAGAAAGTGCTTTTTTTTTTCTTTTTTCTTTTTTTGGTTTTTCGAGACAGGGTTTCTCTGTAGCTTTGGTGTTTGTCCTGGAACTAGCTCTTGTAGACCAGGCTGGCCTCCAACTCCCAGAGACCCGCCTGCTTCTGCCTCCCGAGTGCTGGGATTAAAGGTGTGCGCCACCACCGCCCGGCTCAGAAAGTGCTTTTAAGTCATCTATCCAGACCCTCAAGAGATTTTCTCATCTAAACATCTTGAAACAGTTTTTTTTTTTTTTTTTTTAACTTGGGGCTGGAACTGAGTGCCTTTTACATGTTAGGCATTGAGCCACACCCCAGCCCCTCACTGGGGGATTCTAGGCAGGGGCTCTACCACTGAGCCACACCCCAGCCCCTCACTGGGGGGATTCTAGGCAGGGGCTCTACCACTGAGCTACACCCCAGCCCCTCACTGGGGGGATTCTAGGCAGGTGGGATTCTAGGGAGTTTCTCTAGCACTGAGTGATATCCGCAGTCTGGCCTAGTGTATTTAGCCAAAACTATAGATGTATGTCACCATACCTGATTTTATAGTTAGTATATATAATATATATACTTGTTTATACATACAAGTATATATAAATATATATACACATATACGTATATATACATGTATACATATAACATTCATATGTAACCACATTCCTCTTTTAATTTTGACCGTAAAGAATGTGCAGGGGTTGGAGAGATGGCTCAGTAGTTAAGTATGCTTGCAGTGCAATCATGAGGACCAGAGTTCAGATCCCAGCACCTATGTAACAAACCAAGCAACAATTCCAGCTTTGAAGGAAACAAAGTCCTTTTCTGGCTTTCTTGTGTGTACAGGCATATGCTCTCACACACACATACATTCAACATATACTCAAAGAGATAATTTTTTGGGATATGGTCTCACTATGTAGCTTGACTGTCCTGGAACTCTCTCTGTAGACTAGGCTGGCCTCGAACTCAGAGAAATCCACTTGCCTCTGCCTCCTGAGTGCTAGAATTAAAGGTGCACACCACCACTGCCAGCTATAAATAAATCTTAAAAAATAAAAAAGAGCCAGGCATGGTGGCATGCCTAAGGAGGCAGAGGCTGGCAGATCTCTGTCAGTATAAGGGCAGCCTGGTCTATATAAATGAGTCAGGCCAGGCAGGGCCACACACACACAGTGAGACCCTGTCTCAAAACAAACAAGCAAGCAAGCAAAACGGGCAGGGCCAGTGAGAGGCCCAGTGATAACAGAACTTGCTGCCGAGGCTGCTGACTTCAGTTTGGCTCCCAGGAGCCACGTGGCAGCAGGAGAGAACTGATTCTTACAAATTATTCTTCCACTCCCACAGGCATGCCATGGCTCCCGGGTGCCCAAGCACATACTCATAAATAAATAAGTATAAAACACTATTTTTTTAGAAGGGGAATTTGAAAATGTGAAATTTTCTACTGATGTTTTAATTCTGCTATACTATGACACATAATGTCCAGTTAAACTTCCTTCAGATTCATGCACAGTTTTGCACAGCTGTGACCATAATGAACGAATGGTTTACTCCTTAAGCACTGAGTTTCTCATGCTGTCACAAGGGGACCATAGAAATAATATTTTACTAAGCCGGGCTGTGGTGGCGCACGCCTTTAATCCCAGCACTTGGGAGGCAGAGGCAGGTAGATCTCCGTGAGTTCGAGGCCAGCCTGGTCTATAGAGCTAGTTCCAGGACTGGAAACAGCCTGGCAGGTCATTTCTTAAGAATACCAAGCTCAGGGCTGGAAAGATAGGTCAGCAGTTGAGAGCACTAACTACTCTTCCAGAGAACCCAGGTTCAATACCCAGTACCTACATGGCAGCTCACAACTGTCTGTAATTCCAATATCTGACTCCCCTACACATACATGCAGGCAAAACACCAATGCAAATAAAAATAAACTATTTAAAAGAAAACATACCAAGCACAGCCAGGCAGTGGTGGCATATGCTGTTTGAGGCTAGCCTGGTCTACAGAGCAAGTTCCAGGATAGCCAGGGCTACAAAGAGAAACCCTGTCTCAAAAAGCAAAATAACAAAACAAAACAAAGAATACCAAGTTCTGCATCAGAAGTGTTTTGGAGGTGGAGGACCATGCACACACCATGGCTTGTGTGGTAGGCTCCAGAGACTGAATCTAGGTCATCAGGTGTGGCTGTAAGCACTTTGGTCCACCAAGCCCCATCTTACTGTCCCAGGGGATCACGTAAACCTCTGAAAGCCTGCAGATGGAGTTTCTCTATTGAACTGAACAGAATTGAGATTCATAGTAAATCCCATGCCTTGAGTTGCCAGAATCCACATGAGCCTGAGTCCAAAATTTTACACTTTTCTTATGTGGGATTCCAAAGAAGATTATTTTAAATTAAAACCTGTCAAACCTCTCAACTTCTATATTGGGCTCTGCATGGTGGCGCAAGTCTTTAATCCCATGACTGAAAGGCAGAGGCAGGCAGATCTGTGTGAGTTGTCAGCCTGGTCTACACAGTGAGACCTCTGCATGATGGCACACGTCTTTAATCCCATGACTGAAAGGCAGAGGCAGGCAGATCTGTGTGAGTTGTCAGCCTGGTCTACACAGTGAGACCTCTCAACAAAACCCCAACCCCATACACCTCAATGAGAACATGTTAGCTGATAACCTTTATTCAGGAAGCAAAGTTAACTAGGAAACCATGCTTCAAAAATAAGCCACACAAGGCCAGGCCTCATGAGGCCACCGTCCAGTCATGCACTGATGCAGGTGCCAGTCTCAGCAAGACATCCCCCTAGCAGACCGCCAACATGTTGGTAGCATGAGCAAGGTGCTGGCGACCTGAGGTTCAGATCCTTGCTCTGGGCAGTGTGCCCAATCCCAGCCAGTGCCTCATTTACATGTGAAATCCAGGTGTGAACTCCCCAACACCCTCCGCCCTGTGTGGGCAGACAGGTGACCTGATTCCCACTCATCCCCACAGAACTGTTGAAGATGAAAGCAGGTCCAAGAAGCTAAACAAGACTAAGATGCTGGCGGGGAGAGGATGCTGGTGTGTAAGGCAGAAACACAGGCACAGGAGCAAACTCAATGGACAATGGCAAGCCTACAGTTCACTGCCGACTTAGGTGTAGAGACCCCACAGCAAATAAAACCACAATAGGAAGTAGAAATAGACAAGATCTCCCGAGTAAATTGGGAGCATGGGGACCTTGGGAGAGTGTTGAAGAGGAGGGGGAGGCAGGGAGGGGAGCAGAGAAAATGTAGAGCTCAATAAAATCAATAAAAAATAAATAAAAACACAACCCTCAGCCAGTCGGTGGTGACACATACCTTTAATCCCAGCATTCGGGAGGCAGGAGGCAGGCGGATCTTTATGAGTTCAAAGCCAGCTTAACCTAACTGGTGAGCTCCAGACTAATGAGAGAACTTGAGTCAGAAAAGAAGGCGGACAACATGGCTTAGGGGCGTCCATGTGCACATATGCGTGCCCACATGCAGAGTGGCTTATAAATGTACGTGTGCACACATGCACATGGGTGTGTAAATATACACACAGGCTTCCTATCACTTCAGCTGTACCCTGGCTTCTTTGAGAACTCAAGAGGAAGGAAAGGCAACCTCTGTTGTATACTGTTTCACGGGACAGCGACCTGCACAGAGCTCTGGGATCGAGGTCCCAAAACAAACACAGGCAATTGCAATCCTGTTGCCACGGAGTCTCCCTCCCCTAACTGCACCACTGAGTCCCTTTCTCCAACCACACCAGAAAAGCAACATCCTTCACTTTCTTCAGGACACAGGGGAAGGGCCATTCTTGCCACAATGCAGTCACGGTGGAGATAAAGGGATAGCCCAACTATCTGATCATACTTACTTGGTGATGTGGAAGGAGGTTTCTGGCAACCTTTTCTTTTTGTTTTCTGCAAGAAAGGAGAAGCAATGTGAAGCATGCTGGGCTTCCTAAGAGACCTCAAGGGCACTGCTGGAAAATCAGACACAGTGGGGAATGAGCAAGATGGGCCCTGAAAGAGACCCTGGCTAGGGCAAACCTCTTGGAGGTTTGAGCCACTTCACAGTGAGCCTCACACATGGGAGGTCCATGGCTAGGGCTGGGAGCCAAAAAGGTCACTCTCTCTGACAGGGTTACACAGAGATACCCTGTCTTGAAAACCAGAAAAAGGTTTTCTGAGAGTCACTCCAGACAAGACAAGCTGAAAAGAAGACTCTCAGCCTCTAAGACCTGGGAGAATTCTAGATCAGAATCACTTGGAAAAGACAGTCTCTAAACTGCTGAACTTCCTGCCAGCTATTCAGTGTGCTCCAGGTTCCCAGCTCAGGGAACTGTCACCCATGCTCATCTGGACCTTGGTAATGCAGCTGTTTTTGAGTAATTTTTTGTTCCTACCAAGTAACCTCTCACCAATATTCCTCTAACTAGCCCCTTCACCAAGCTGGGCTTTGCTGGTATCTGTACTTTGGTCTGTCACGGGACCCCTATCTGGGTAGACAGATGTGTGCTGAATCTCCCCAGGAAAGATTTTGTCACACCACAACACAGAGGTCCCTCCTTGGTGACAGTGGGCTTGTGAGGCTTCTAAATGGAGCTTAGGCTTCTTGTGGTGGGTCCCTTCAAAGCTCATATATAGCTGGAATCCAGTCTATACTCAGGGTCACTTCACTGTCTTATCCCTAAGTGAGCACTTAGCATGCTTCCTTTGCTACTCAGAACAATTTACAAAAAGAACCCAAGAGGCTAGCTAATCCCCAGGGGACAGTGGGAGAGAAGTTCCACTGTGAGTGCCTGCCTGGAATCCCCCAGCGATGGCTGGGGTGTGGCTCAGTGATAGAGCCCCTGCCTAGAATCCCCCAGTGAGGGGCTGGGTGTGGCTCAGTGGTAGAGCACCTGCCTAGAATCCCCCAGTGAGGGGCTGGGGTGTGGCTCAGTGGTAGAGTGTGTGCCTAGAATTCCCCAGTTATGGGATAGGGCATGATTCTTCAGTGTATCCTAGTCTGACCACCTCTGAAGTTTTCTTGACTAGTTCCTAGCTCTCTGGGGGTTCCTTTGTGAGCTGCCATGTGGATACTGGGAACTGCATCCATGCACTCTGCAAGAGCAACAAGTGCTTTTAAACTGAGCCATCTCTCGAGCCCTTCACAATTTCTAAAACTAGCATTAAAATGATAACCTCAGTTTTTATTATTTTGTTGTTGCTGTTGCTATTGGTTGAGACAGGGTCTTAAGTAGCCCAGGCTAAATGACATGAAACTCATCTTCCTGCCTCTACCACCTCCCAAATGCTAGGATTACAAGCATGCATCACCATACCCAGTTTACAGTGTTAGATATGGAACCCAGAGCTTCCTGCCTGCTAGGTACACACTCTGCCACTGAGATACATTCCTTACCCTTGAAATTGATTTCCAATAAATAAAAAATTTAAAAATGATCATCCCAGTTATTTAAATTCAACTAACAGACTGCAACTTCTACACCAGAGGCAGCTTGGGCACCAGTGCTCTGGGTCCACCAGCATTGGGGGAGACTACACACATCCAAGGGACACTGACACGGGGACAGTCATCCCTACTTGTACTCACCGTCTCAAACTCAGAATCAAAGGTAATTGCAGACAGGCTGTCATCTCCCTGGAAGAGATGCACACAGGATCACTGGAAGGCACTGCTTGAGTTCCCCAATCCCATTTGCAAACTGCCTGTCCCAGCTCCAGCAACAGGACCCAGCACGTGTCACGCCACAGCATGTGACATCTTGATCCTTCAGTGGCCAGTGTATCCCGATAGTCAGAAAGGAGGGGTGGGAGCAGGGGATGCCGCGTTGGAAAAGTACATGTTGATCAAGCATGAGGACCTGAATTCGATCCAGTGCTGGGGTAGAAACAGGCGGATCATCGGAGCTCAATGGCCAACCCGCCCAGCCTACTGAGTGCATTTGAGGCCAGTGTGAGACCCTTCCTCAAAAAAAGGCGTGTGTGTGGAAAACGTCTTTGAGGAATGTCCTGTGACATTCCTTGGGCCTCCATTCATGAACACACACAGGAAGAGGAAGGCTGTGGGGTGGTTAGCGATTCTGCCTGGCCAACTGAGTCTATGTCCAGAGGTATGGTGGGTCCTCAGGACTACTGTGTGCCTTTGACAGTGTTCTCAACTCCAGAGAGGCATTCCGTTCTTCCCTGTGTCAACAGTCTGACTCTTAGTCACCTTCCACTCAAAGCAGGCCATGTCCTGGCAGAGCAGAGCAGTGATTACACGTCTCGATTTCATTTTTCTTGTTTAAAGGTATTCAAACTCTGTGTGTTCGTGCATGCATGTGTATGTAAGTGCCCGTGGATGCCAGAAGAAAGTGCCAAATCCCCTGGAGGTGGACTTACAGGCAATTGTGAGCTCTGACGTGGGTGCTGGGAACCAAACTCCAGTGCTCGGAAAGAGCAACAACTACTCTTACTCACTGAGCTATCTGTCCAGTCCCCACCCCCATATACTTTATTTTTATGTGTATGTGGCTATATCTATCTGGTGTGCTCATCTGTGTATGTGTGTTCCTGAGTGTGTGTTTGTGTGTAAATCTGAAACAGTCATTGTGTGTCCTTCACTCCCTTCCACTGTGACACAGGCTTTCTTGCTGAACTGAGAGCTCGTTAATTGTGGCTCGTCTAGTTAGCCGGCTTGCCCAGGGGAATCCCATCTCCAGTTCCTAAGCATCGGTGTTACAGGCAGCAGCTGTGCCCATGCGCCTTTGCGGTGGATTCTGGAGATCTGAACTCCGGTCCTACTGCAGGCAAGCATTTTATCCCTGGAGCCTTCTCTCTAGGTCTTGGTTACAGTCTGGAAAACACCTCCAGGTGGTACAAGTCACGATTTGGAAAACCGAGGCAGAAGGAAACCAAATTTGAGGCTAGCCTGGGCTACATACAAAGTCAGACCATTTTTAAAAAAATATGGAAAGTGTTAGCAATGAAGTTAATGGTAATAGTTACAGAACAATAGAAATATGATGTTTTAACCTATGGGGAAAAGATGTAAATAAAACAAACAACAAACATGAATTGGCTTTCTGTAGATGGCCAGGTTATGGGTAACGTCCCAAGACTGAAAGAGTAACGCATTATCTTTGTAAACACAAAGTTTGCGTTTGTGTGTGTGTGTGGGGGGGGGGGTTAAGACAAGGTTTCTCAGTGGCGGTGGAGCCATTCCTCGAACTTGCTCTGTAGACTAGGATGGCCTTGAACTCTCAGAGATCCACCTGCCTCTGCTTCCTGAGTGCTGAGATTCAAGGAGCGGGCCACCGCTGCCTGACCACAGGAAGGTTTTAACTTGTTCAAGGTCTGGAGAGTTCAGGGGTAGCTGGGGGTTGTGGCTCAGTGGCAGAGCACTTGCTTGGGGTAGGGGTCTGACACTCAGTAGAGTACTGGCCTAGAATCCCCCAGTGGCCGCGTGGGGGAGGTTCATCTGTAGAGCTCTGGCCTGGCCTGAGGGGTTCAGCCTCCAAGAGCACACACAAAGCAAACAGCAACCGACCTGCTAAACTAGGTAAGACTTGGGAAGTCTCCCCTGCAGGGACAAGTAGGAAATCCTAGCTGCTCTCTGCTGACTAGAAGCATAGTCCCTTAGTCTGTGTGAAATCTCCCCTCCCTCAGGCGTCCCTTGGACCCTTGATAAGTCATTCTCCTTGTGGCCAGGTTCCTGCCTACCTCCCTTCAGTCCCCTTCTCGATAAGATCCCAGAGGGCTTGCTTTGGGTCCTTTGGATACACACTTTCCCGCCTCATAGCCTTTGCATTTATTGCTCCCGCGGACCCTAAACTTTTGTCTTTGAGATCGAGGAATTGCCCTGTCTTATAGCCCCCACTGGAATGCACAAAGTTCACTTGGTACCGGCACGCACAGAGGGCCAGAGGGTCGATCCCGCACTGGGAGACCGAGGGTCGCACGCCTCTTCTAGAGATGCCTCTCTGACCCATACGGGGTTGGCTCTGGGGGTGGAGGCCTTCTCCTTTGCCTGGGATCGCTCTGAGGAGTCACTGGAGTGCAGCCTGCAGCAACACTTACGAGGTGAGCTCGTCACCAGCCAGTCGCGGCCTCTGACCCGCAGCGCGCGCGGGACGGCGCAGTCCCGGGGGCTTCGTGGAAGCAGTGGCTTCCGCGAGCGCGGGCCGGAGCTAGAGGCTGCTAGGGCACGGGCACGGTGGCGGCCGACGCCCGGGGCTAGCTCTTGTGCGGTAACAATCGGCTTGCGGGAGCTGGCTGCTGCCGTGCGCCTGTCCTCCCTCTGCCTCGGGCCTCCTTACCGTCTCCGAGGCTAGATCCGCGGTGCCCAGACTCATAGTGGCGGCGCTGCGCGGCCTCCTGGACGCTGCGAGCTTGGCCCTCAACATGGGAGGCCTGCCAGCAGCCCTGCTGCCATGGCAACCGTGCCGCGGCCACAGGGCCCCGGATGTGGACCTTCCCCTGGAGCCTGGCGAACCGTGCGCGCGCGCAGAGTGAGCGCGGGCATGGGGGCCGACCATGCACTCTCCCGAGGTTGCACTACGCTGGTGGGGTTTCGGTTTCTGGTGCTGCTTGAATTGAGCCCAGTGCCTCCTGCATGCAAGGCCGGCTCTCTACTTCGGAGCCACGCTCTCAGCTGCAACTTCAGGAGCCCGAGTTGGGTTTCTGCAGATAGTGGCTACAACTGTGTAGTCCAGCGGGCAGGGCTTCCAAGGGTCGCCATGTTGAGTGGACACAGGGGACAGAGTGTAAGGCACCATCGTTAGTGATAGGCGCCTACTTAAATGTTTATTTTTCCTCTAAATAATCTGAGATGTTGGGGGCCAAAGTGACTCCCTAATTGTTAAACCTGGGGCCTTTCGCCTTGAGGAAAGGACAGTTCACACCAGGACTATCCATAGGCCTGCACCAACCGCTTTATACACTCTGCTAACAAGCACTTCACTGGTGGCCCAGCAGGCCAGTGCTAGTGCAAACACAGTACCTCATTTGCCTTGGGGTCATCCTGCCTCTGCCTCCTCAGTGTTGGGATTACAAGTGTCTATCACCATACCTTGCTTTTTTCTTTCTTCTACCTCACTCTGTCGGTTGGCGACTAACAGACTTGAGTCCTTTATGCTTGCAAAGCAAGCACTTGACTAGCCCATTTCCCAGCCCGCATTGTTTCTGAGTAAAGAGCTCTCCCCAGCTGGGTGATATTGCAACATTAAAACTCAAGACAAGGCTTTTCTTTGAGTGCTTTCTTTACTTACTTGAAAAAGATTTTTTTCTTTTGATTTTCCAGACAGGATTTCTCTGTAGTTTTTGGTGCTTGTCCTGGAATTAGCGCTTGTAGACCAGGCTGGCCTCGAACTCACGGAGATTTGCCTGCCTCTGCCTCCCAAGTGCGCCACCACCGCTCGGTGGAAAAAGAATTTTTTCTTAAAGAAAAAAAATACTTTAAGACAGCGAGACTAGCCCTAAACTTACATAGGCACATCAATTCTGAGCTTAAAGGCAAAAGCTTCCACGCTCTGCCCTGAGAGGTATTTTTTTTTCTTTTCTCTCTTTTTTTTTTTTTTGGTTTTTCGAGACAGGGTTTCTCTGTAGCTTTGGAGCCTGTCCTGGAACTCCCTTTGTAGACCAGGCTGGCCTCGAACTCACAAAGATCCGCCTGCCTCTGCCTCCCGAGTGCTGGGATTAAAGGCGTGCGCCACCACCGCCCAGCCCTGAGAGATATTTTTATGTGTTTGTGTGGGTGACCTCAGGGCTGGGGATACTCTTAACCACTGAACCACCTATCTAGCCCCCGCTTGCCTACTTTTTATCTTTATCACTAGCAGAGTGGGCTGAGGCCGTGAAGAGCCACACAACTGCAGGCTTTGGTAACTGGAGGGGTCCTGACACTCTAGTTCCCGGAGTTTAGCGGTAGCCACTGTAGGAGCAGAGAGTTTCAGCACCGGAGGCCCCATCACAGGTCCTGCCGACATTCACTGTAGCCAGGAACAACAAAAGCTAGCAAAAGGCAGGGGCCGCAAATGTCCACACGAGGCCGGAGGCCAGCGAGGCCCCGCCTTCCAGTGAATAGCCACGCCCACACAGGGGCCGCCTTGACGATGCCCCGCCCACTTTCTGAGTGGGCGTGCAACACTTAGCGTCGGAGTTGGATGGTGTGGTGCTTCCGAGTGAGTGAAAATCCCAAGCTGTACCCAACTGAGTGCATTTACAGGGTTTTGAGTCTTAAAAGTGATCGGAGCGGCGTTCATGATCATCACTGATCTCCAAGGGCACCGTCCTCACTTTTTCTCGCCCCGTGACTGTCACGTGGTACAGGCAGGGCCTGTAGAGTCGTAGACTCAAGCGGAGGAGGGCGGAACCCGCAGCACTAAGGGGCGGAGCCTGTAGCCACGTGAAAGGGATTGCGTCAGGGGCGGGGCCTCGGCTGCGTGCTGCGAACTCGGGCGGGATGGAGCCAACTCCCGCCCGGGGGCAGGACCTGTGATGGCGTCTGGCGGGGCCTGCGGCTGCGTGGAACTGACTCTGGGGCGGGGCAGAACCTGGGGAGGGCGGGGCCTGGGCCGGCGTGGAGCGGAATTTGCGGAGGCGCGGGCGGGGCCTGTAGCAGACACCGGAACCTCTGCGGGTGAGTCGTGAGCAGATCAGGGATTCAGATCCCGGTAACGCGGAGTGGGAGCTCCGGGCAGGCACTTGGGGCCTGGTCGTGCATTCTGCACTCTCGGGCCTAGGCCCATAACAGAGAGACGCGGAGGCGGGATTCGAACCCTAGCTAATTCGAAATCGCGGAGTGCGCACCTCTTACCCGGAATTGGGAGGTACGGACGACGAATGTTGGAGTTGAGACGGACCGTGCCGGGCCGACATCGTCCTCCAAGATGCATATTTCTGTCCTGAATGGACACCTTCCGATTCAGGCCGCAGGGTGGTCACTTGCAGCCTCTACCGACCTGGGCTGTGATACGCACATTCCTCTGCATTCCTGGGTCTCATGCAGGTTTCTCTTGACCGTTGAGAGCAGATTCGAGGGTCAGGTGCCTGGATGGACAGTCCCCTGCATATTTGGCTGATCCCCTGACTCTCTTCTCCCCGCAGCTAGGTCAGTAGGCAAGTTGCACCTCCACCTCAACGCACCACACCCCTAAGTCGACTCGACCCCAAAGGCCTCGTGGCTCTGATTAACATTTCCTCACCCACCAGGTTCCCCTGATTGAGTTTAGTGTCTGTGTGAGCTCAAGAGTTCTGGCCCTGATGAAGTTTTTTGGGCCCCTCCCCCATCATAGCAGACATCGGAGGTTGCTATGGCTGGTGTCTGAAGCCAGATATGATCATGACTGATCCATTGCTTCCTCTGTAGGAACCGCTGCCCTGATCATGGACCCAGAATGCTCCAGGCTCCTCCCGGCTCTCTGTGCTGTTCTGGCAGATCCCAGGCAGCTGGTGGCAGATGACACCTGCTTGGAGAAACTGCTGGATTGGTTTAAAACAGTGATGGAGACAGGTACAGGCGTGGCGTATAACTGTCCATTGGTTTGGTGTCTTTCCTTCACCTCCTTGAGGCTCTCTGGATGATGAGGGAGAGCCAAGATAGGGCCCAGGGGCAGTAGTCCCATCGGAGTCGATCCACATTTCAGACTTCCTGCTGTCCAGTTCACATTAGGTGTTTGCAGAGAGCACGCCTGCATTGTTTAGCTATCTTTGTTGCATTTTGGGCCTCAGCTTCGAGGCCAGCCAGCGCTACATAGTGAGTTCAAGGCCAGTCTGAGTTACAATTTTGCTGTGTGGGTGGATCTTAATTTATAATCACTTGCATTGTTTGTGTTTCCGATTTTTTGTTATTATAAATAGTGCTGTACCTACCGGCTTTCCTTGTGCGTGAGTACCCTGGCAACTGGAACTTTTTCCTCTTATGGTTGATCCTTGTCTTCTGACAGGGTCCATGGTCCTTGTCTTACCGTTAATACCTACCTTTTTCTTCCTTGGTTTTCTTTTCCTTTTCTTTTGAGACATGGTCTAGTGTAGCCTAGGCTGTCCTCAAACTCACTGTGTAGCCTAGTATGACCTTGAACCTCTGGTCCTCGTAAGTGTGAATCATCACTCCCTGTTTTTATTGGATGCTGAGGATGGAACCAAGACTTTGTGCATGGCAGAGAAGCACTTTACCAACTGAGCCACATCCCCAGCCTTTATCTTTTCTTTTGTATTTCGTTTTGCCTGTTTTCTAAGTTCCAGGATTTAAAAAGGCAATAGTCCTGTAAAAGTGACATGTTAGTTGAAGCTTACTACAAGTTTAGCTGCATGGTACTTTTGTAATTTAGGGTTTTTCTTTGTTTGTTTTGTTTTTGAGTTGGGGTTTTTCTGAGTAACAGCCCTGGCTGTCCTGGAACTAGCTCTGTAGACCAGGCTGGCCTTGAACTCAACAGAGATCCCCAGGTCTCTGCCTCTCAAGTGTTGGGATAAAAGGTGTGCACCACTACGTCTGACATGTGATATGTGTGTGTGTTTGCCTATGTATGTGTACATGTTTGCTTACCAGTGTGGAGACCAGAGGTTGACATTGTCTTTTCAGTCATGTCCCACCTTATATACTGAGGCAGCGTCTCTCTTTTCCCTCTCACTTGAACCAAGAACTTCTCAGTTTGGCTGTTCTAGCAGGACAGCTGAGGGTCCCCTGTCTGTGTCTGGAGTGCTGCCTGCCCAGCATTTATATTGGTTCTGAGAATCTGAACTCTGGTCCCGCACTGAAAGCTTTACCTACTGAACCATTCCCCAGCCCTAGAAGCCTAGTTTTCAGCCAAGTTTCTATAAGTAATTTTACAGGAGTGTGTGTGTGTGTCTTCTTCGTGCACACACAGGCATCTACAGACAAAGGTCAGAGCGGGATATTAGGCATCTCCCCTCACTTTCTACCTATTGCCTTGAGACAAGCTCTGTTGCTGAACCTGAAGTTACAGGAAACTGGGCTAGCTGGCTAGGAAGTCCTTGGGATCTGTCTGTCTCCACCTCTCCCCCAACTCTAGAATTAGAGGCATGCAGAGACATGCCTGGCATTTTTGTGAGTGCTGGGAATTCGAACTCAGATCCTCCTGCTTGCTGTGCCTGTCTTATCCATGGAAGCATCTCCCCAGCCCCTTTCACAACTTTGGTTTCTTTGGAGGCAGGGTTCAGCTGTATAGTCCAGGCTGGCTTGGACTCACCATCTAGAGCAAGCTGGCTTTGAACTCAGGGGTCTGCCCACCTCTGCCTCCCAAGTGCCACGTTTAAAGGTGTATGCCACCACATCTGACCTGTAAGTGTTTTTAAACAGCTTCATCAAGATGTGATTTACCTGCCAGAGTTCACGTATTTAAAGTTTACCCAGTTCAGCTGGGTGTGGTGACTCACACCTGTAATCACAGCATTAGGGAAGCTGAGGCAGGAGTGTTACCTCGGTTACTTAGTGAGTTCAGGGTCAGCCTGT